CATCGTCATGTACGATCATATAGGTTAGCCTTCCCCGAATTATAATGATAATTTGGTCGCCTTGGTTTGGTACACGATACTGTAGCCGGACATGTACGGCGTCACAACGTGTCTGTTTGTTGTTCCACCTTCCATGACCCGTTTATGACTGAATGAATAACTAATTATTTAGAACCTTCCAAGTTTGAACGCTGTTAGCCTGCACATTCGAAACGCGACGGAGCTAAGTCATCAGGTTGTTGAATGTCAGTAGCACATCAGTTAGTATTTATTGTGCTCACTTTTGCACATTCAGACCCACCACTACTTTGCATAACAACATTATTATGATTAATGTTGGGCAAACTTCTTCTCTCTTTGCTCTCGGTCCGTGGTTGGATTCACCCTCAGGCCTCACTTCCTTGCAGTGGCTATTTTCATTATGTCACGTGCCATGAAGTGCAGGCAGAGAACACATAGAACTGCGTAAACATGTAAACCACTTTCGAGAAGACAAAAACCTAACGTTAGTCACGTGACTGCAAGAGGGGAAATGTCTTGAGTGCTAGCTTGAATCCTCCATACATAATTTTATTCTCATTATTTTATGATGATGATGATGATGATGATTTTGTTTTTTTTGGGTTGAAATAGGGAAGGCCTCTTTTACGGGCAAAGCAAAGCACAATCTTCACCATGTATCAGTACAGTGAGTAGTTAAACCCAACACGAATGAAAAATGTGAAATGGAATAAAAACAATATTTGTAAAGAAATAAATAAATTAAAATTAAAATTAAAATTCAATATCGAACACGAATAAAATAAAATAAAAATATGTAAAAAATAAACAATATCGAACACGGAATTAATTCCGGAACTACATGTATCTACTCAACCGATTCATGCACTGTACAAACGAATTGCTCATCTGTTGGCGGAGAAGAGGGGTGAGCATTACTCTCATGTTATGGCATTTGTTAGATGCAGGATTTCCTTCAGCCTTCTGAAATCCTGTATCATGTGCATTCGCGGTTGTAGGCGTTTAAATTTTGGTTTGAAATTTGCACCCTCCTGCGGAGCCCACGCTGCTTTGGCAGTGGCGGAGGCTCGCTTGCCGACGTAACCGTCGGAGATCATCATGAACAATGGACTGACTAATTATTCACTTGTCCTGTCTTTATAAATAACATGTTATTGCATATGTTCTTGGTTTAGTTTTTGGCCTTTTTCGTGCTTTGGAGTTGATAACATTTTCCTCACTATCGAAAAAAAAAAATTCATAATGCAATACCCACACACTGTGTCAGTGATGGAACTCCGCTACCCGATCAACATGCAGAGACCACTCAATCACATGCTTAGAAGCCGCTCTCCACAATGGCCAACTCCCTCATCGCATTAACTGGACGATGGTAGGCCGAACGTGCACCGCGAATGCACATTATGGCTGCCCTGAGCAAAGCGAAGGACAAGCGACACCGCACATAGGCCATTAGCTGGGCATACGGTCGATCGGCAGTTGCCAGCAATGCACACAACCGCTTAATGAATGCAGTACACTCCGGAGCACAACAACCCGCCGTGGTAAAGACTAGAGGGGTAAATGAACCACGGTCGACATTGTTGATACGCTCGGCATACTCACTCTTCTTGCGGCGCTCATGTTGCTTCAGAAGATCACTGACGGGCTTGCTCTTGTATGATGCTGCATCCGGGTGGAAGACCCGGACATCGAAGAACGCATTCTGAGCCCGGGTCCAGAACCCACGAGCTCGGACATCAGCTCGGGCGTCGTTCGCGGTGTTTGTTGATGCCGATAAAAACACCTCGCCTGTGATCGGAGCAAGTACAGGCTCGACTGCCACATCTGAGCATACCTCCGTCAGAAGATCCGCCACGATATCTCTTACTTCATTGTGGCGAATTGTCGGGAAACCTCCGCGGGGGCAAATCATCGCATGCGTGGCGTCGAACGGCTCCCCCCACACACAGCTCGCTGGTGTGTCCAAGAGAGACCAACCATAGCGGAGAGCTAGAGCGTCGCGGAAGTCTCCCTTGGACAGATGGTGACCATGGTCTGCCAGAGGCAATACTCCGAGCCAACTCGAAACGCCTTTCGTGGATAAACTCTCCAGCCGACGAGCCAGGGCAGGGGACGCACTGCTCTTGATCGTGACGAAATCATTCTGCTCCCTCTGACGACGATCATGCGCTAGCCGTGTCTTCTCGCTTAGGGCTGCCTGGCGAACATCCTCCGTGGAGTTATGGGTGTATTGATCATTCTGGTGTACAATCTCCTCCACCTGAAGGGCCGTTACAGCTCTCGACGCAGGGAGCTCTGCCGTACCCATTTGCTGAAAACACGGCAGGGCCATCCCCCCCCCCCCCCAGTCGACAGGGCAGGCGGAGAAGGTTCAATTCTTCTGGTAGGAAGGAATCACGGCCCGCTAGAGCAGGTAGAAGCTCCTCCGTGATCACCTTGTCAAGGTCGGTAAGGCATTGTGCAGGGAAAGGTACTGTACGCAATAGGTAGGTCCACCTACCACGTAAACCATGAGATATTGCAGCATAGGCAGCATGTGGCTCCGTTTTTGCAATCTCTGTAAGCTTCTTCAGCTCTTCCTTCCACTTCGCCACCCGTTGCTGCACACTTTCCGCGACCGCCTCTTCCGATCCAATCTCGGAGCCGAGATAACGCAAGCTCCCCGTGACAATCCGGATCCCTGTCTCGGCAAACACTTGGCGTGCTTCCTGCTCCAGCTCTGGCTTGACAAGGAGCTGGGTCTTTTCGGAGTTCGTGAAGTATCCGTATCGCCGTCCAATTGCCTGCAGCTCGCCCCACCACAACCGGATCTGTCTCAGCCTACCTGCTCCGCTGGAATCACCCGCATACCAGCTCTGCCGGACTGATGTGTGCTGCTCCTGGAGACGAGTGATGATCGGTATGGTGGCAACTGCGTAAAAGGCCATGGAGAGGGGGTCGCCCTGAGTGGTTCCCTCACTCGACTTGACTTCCCCTCCACCTGCAACAAATAAACGTGCAGCCGTTTGATAGGAGTTCATGATGACGCTGGAGAGGGCAGGACATAGCCGCTGGACATTATGTAGCGCCGCTTCTCTGTTCAAGCTGTTAAATGCATTGCGAGCATCCACCAACAGCACTCCATCTGTCTCCTCGTCATTGTAAATCTGCTGCACCGCATGCACGGCCGCCTCTATCCCAGCTGGTTGGCCCGCACACTTCTGGATAAATCCGCAGGCTTTCTCAATATCCGGGGCTGCGACACGAAGTACCGCCTTAGCACCAATGCGCCTCAGCACCTCGCCAACCCCGATTGGGCGGACCCCAGGCTTCTTGTCCAGTGCAATTAGCCGACCAGCAAGAAATGGAATGAGGCCCTCCGATGGTATGACACGGGTCGCAAGCAAGCGGGCGCAATCAGCCATTGCTTCGCAAAGGAGTGTTGAGGCTCCTTTGAACGCCAAACACATGCGGCGCCAGGCAGCAGCATCCAGACCGGAAGGGCCAGCGGAGCCTTCTGTGTGCTCGGCGATAGACTTGAGGAGATCCGGGGTCAATGGGTCAAATCGAATGCCGTCCACCTCGGGGGGCTGTCCACTCAACAAGACTTCCGGGCTGGCAGCCAGCCTCTCTGGGTGCTTCTCCTGAAGAAGGTCCCTGACAGAGCTTCGGGTGCCGTCCTTTAGAGTGACCATGTCGTCTATTTTGAGCACTCCACTGTCATCATTCCCGCTATCCAATGAGCGCAGTGCATCGTGTACTCTTCCCTTCCTCATGTGTTCAGCAAACATGCGGGCTCTGTCACTCTCTCCTTGCCTCTTGCCACCCGGCCTAGAGCGAAACAAGGTGTCCTGCAGGCAACGGCCCTCCGCAAGCAGTGCATCCAAATCACCGCCCCGCCACAAAGCCATCCGCCTCTGAAGATGGTCAGCGTTAGCCTTAGCTTTGCTCTTACTGTGAGTCACCTGCAACATCAACGATGGCAAGACCGACAGATTATACATAGCACTCGCATTGGTGCCTGCCGAGTCAACGAAACTGCGAAGTTGTGCGGCAATGAGGTTGACAAAATCCTTTCCAACGGACCCTGTTGGAATCTTGAAAAATCTCTTCCTCCAATGTACAACCTCGTCAAACGCAGAACTGATTGCTGGGCTGGGCGGATCTAGCCGAGGTGCAGGTCCCGACGAGTGCTAGCTTGAGTGCTGAAGATGGTGGTGAAGAGTATGGGATTTGTTCTTTTTCTTGCAGTCACATATAAAACTTTGGTTGTTCCATTGAGTTGAGGCCAATTTGTAGACATTTCCAGTCACACAGTCATACAAGGAGTACATATACGTATGGAAGGTGTAAATCTTGGCAGCTCATATCACTGTTCATGTAGTTGAGGGAGAGTACCCTTTTTTTCAAAACAACAGCTGTTTTAGAGAAAAGCATACCATGCCGGTATGCTTTTACAAGTAGCATTACGATATCCACAGTAATGGCAGTCAACCCTGAGCAAGTACAAAACATGTACATGTAGTATCATACTGGAGAAACTTATTGTTTATAATAACGAGATTGACGTGATTGGCTCCCGGCGACTGTCACTGTTAGTGCGTTGCGGGTTGGAGATGAAGTGAAAAGACTACAAGGCTACAATAGAGCTTTAAAGTTCTTGAAAACACAAACCCATTCTGTGCATTGCCTTTTCCTCAACGTGATACACAGAGCGCAATCTCAGTACATGCAGAATTGTCTTCATTCATACAGATCTTGAGATCGTATTTTCACAAACCCTTCTTCAATGACTTCATTATCAGTCTTATCCTTTCACGGTTGGTCGACTTACTTTCAAATAAAATAAAACAACTAAATCAGGGACGTATACATTATACAATTCCCTGAACAAACCAACCTAAGCCAAGCATTACTGTAAACCTACATTATACATGTATGTACATGTATGTACCGTACCAAGTCAAAGTTTACGCCACCTGGTGGCCTTCCAAATCACCGCATGTTTCTTCACAATCACAAGTTACCATCCCATAGGAAATCATGTGTCGTAGCACTGGGTTGTAGAAAGAGAGATAAATAGCTGTTGATAGGGATAGGCGAGAAGTAGCCGGTCATTACTATAGTAATACGGCTAGAGGTGCACTGTACCGGTACGTTTATCATGAAATCATCCTGCATGCCTTCGATGGGCAATAACTTGCCACTAAGTATAATTTACTTCTGAAATCAGATCATGTTACAGCCACTGAGGTGATAGAAGCTCAGCATCAGTGCAGCTGAACAATACTTATAGTGAATATTGAAAGAGAGATCGGCCACATGCACAGGTATTAACGTATGGAAGTAGATTAAAATACAGCCATCACTGGGAAAGCTATTCGAAAAGACACCGATAAGCAAAATGTCATCCTGATTAGCTACATGTACATATACGGTATTGAGAGCGATGTAATCCTGATCAAACTCATTGTAGAGATTTTGGATGCTTGCTTCTACATGTGCCTTCAAGAGCATAGTATTCTAGCTTTTTTTAGAGATATTATTATTTTTGTAATGTGTTTAGTCTTCGCTGCTGCTACTGCTCTCGCCGTTCCTGTTCCTCCTGTTGTACCAGTTGCCATCGTCACTGGAGCTACCGGAGTTGATGCGACGACACGTGGCTGCAGCTGCAGTCCATCTTCCATTGGACAAACAGGTAACTTGTGCCCTGCCAATCAGCCTGAATCCGCGAACACATCTGTACATGATCTGATGGACGTAGAGAAAAGAAAGACAGAGCTTATAGTCAGTATGGTTGCATTAAACACTGCTCTTCCGGGTGGAATACTTTCTGGACCGAACATCCAGAATACGTTGGTTTGAAAACCATGCATGGTAGGAGGGAAGTTACGATGCAATACAATGGCATGGTATCCATCACTAGTCATCATATCCGACAAGACAATGACGCTCAAATCGACACACAGCTACAGGTCTGACAAGTAAAAGTTATCCTACCTTGCTTCCTACTGAGGTGCCAGTGTATTCAACACGTCCATACGCTATGCCTCTAGGCAAGGCACAGTTGACCGGTGCTGCACACGAGGCAAACAGAACGTACGAACACAACATTTTAATTTTTAATAGTGGTAGCGACGTGTATTAGTTTTCTGGAAACAACTTAGTACGGATTTTTTGGTCTAAATGCGATACCCGGTATCTGCAAAGTCAACAAAGTACATGCACGTGACTGGGAGCACCATATTGAAAGGACTTCTACAGATTCTTCGTTCTATTGCAGTTATCCTTGACAATCTGGTATTCCCTACCCACGTACCTCTAGCTGCGCATGATGGCTGCTGAGACCATTGTCCAGTTGTCTGGCAGACCGCCTCGCGACCACCCACCATCTGATAGCCCTTCTCACAAGTGTGCACAGCCCTACTTCCCAGTGTTGTGGAAGTGTAGTCAATCACACAATTCTCAACGGTGGCTGGAACTGAACAGCTGATCGCTGAAGGTGGACACACACACAGTCATAATATTCTAACGCGTATTCACAACGAATTCGTAAAGAGAGGGAGTAGTGAAAACATAACGATATAAACTAACTTTGGATGGCATGTTTACTGTTACTGTCTATGTTTGAGCGCGATGTGCTGTAGCTAGCTACTCGTAGTCGTAGCTCTACTGCTCAGGCTTACATGTAGATGGTCGAACTCACAGCTACTAAGTACTAGTAGCTGTCTACAGCACGGTGTACTGCAAGTAGGTTCGTACAGCAAGTTTCTGCAGATACATGTATTCGCGAATAAGCGAGTGCACTGCAAGCATGCTTTGAGTAGCAGCGAAACAGCCTTATTTTCACTGGTTTGAGGGAAAGACAGCCTTATTTTATTTTCCTTTTCTGTAACTCTTGCGAACTATGATAGAAATGCGTTAAATTTTGTTCCATCACTGAAGTTTTTTTTACTTCAATAACACTGCCTCATCAGGGAAGGGAAAAGGACAATAGAGAACAATGGGAGGGTGGGTTCTACAGGGTAGTCGTGATGGTGAGTCTGGAGGCACTCCACTGTCCATTGGTTTCAGCTTTAGCATGATTGTACAGGTAAGCGCAGAAAGGTTGATCAGCCACAGAGTATTGATACTATGATATAGCCAGGTTCTTATCACTTACGAATGCAAACTGGGAATGCAGCAGACCACTTTCCATCAGCTTGGCAGGTCGCCTTTGACTGTCCCTGGAGACGATGACCCTGCGTGCATGTAAACCGTACTTCACTGCCGATTGTGTACATTGTATAGGTCACATCACCATTCGCAATGGGACGAGGGCGAGGGCAATGCGTGGCTGGAGAAGGAAATGTATAGAGAGGGAATGGGGGTATATCATGTACCTGTACATGTACTAGTATAGACAAGTCATATTTGAGGGAGATCAGATGTACATGTACATGTACATGTATGTTGGACCTCGCGAGTGATGTGGTGTAGAGACAGTGTAGATTTAATGATTATGATGAATGATAGAAACATCCAAACTGCCGCATCTCTCAATCTACAGCTGGAAGGCTTTTTGCAATACCCATATACATGTACATGCAGACCTAAAGAGAGACTAGACATAACTGTAGGTAGGGTATGTCTCCTTACCTCTACATGTTGGTGAATCTGACCATGTGCCATCAATCTGGCACATTGAAGTTTCCTTGTCGAAGATCTCAAAGCCTTCATCACACGTGTAGTATGCCCGGCTACCCACCGTATTACCGCCGTGCGTGTATCGGCCGTTGGGGATATTGGGTGGCAGAGGACACGCGATAGTACCTGAAGGGAGAATGGAAAAAGCAGTGTTTTATCAGGATACTGTCGGCAGATAGGAACTAGTTATTTTCTATTGCGGCCAATGCTTGGTTTGCTCTCAACTATTACACCATCACCAGTCCAATTGTCACTGCTCAGCACAAACGTGGTCAGGAAATCAACACAGTAGCCAGTACGTGCTCTGGGATTTGTTTGGTAAGGACTTACGGGGCAAGTAATTAGGCTCGCAAGTCGGAGCCTTGGAAGACCACGTCCCGGACGTCAGACAGGAAGCCTGGCTATTACCCACAAGTCTGAAACCATCGTCACAAGCATAGTTGACACGACTGCCGGCCGTTGCTCCGGTGACGCTGACACCACCATTGGCAATTGCAAGAGGTCGAGGGCATCTGATTGCTGCGCACAGGAAATGGACAGGATCGCAAACAAGGGCATTTCCTCATTGCATCACTGCACACTTGCAAGTCACAGGCGTACATGTACATTGTACATGTACATGTGCTTCGAGTACTCCAGACATGTGTATGTACGTTCAAACGGTATCTTGACGAAATGACGTCAGCAAACAGGGCTGCATACTGCATTATGTGATCGGCCAAAATGTTGAGGACAACATGCTCACCTCTTCGTGGTGGGAGTTCTGGAGACTAGGTTTCATCATGTAATATCGAATAGTTCCCTCAAATGATGGTAATTACTTGGAAGAAGTGCAATACATTATACTTTCTAAGGGACTTAATAATGTTATTGGAAACAGACATGACTTCACGGTGCTAATGGTCACCTTCCTTGCTCACCTTTGCATGTTGGTGGTTGACTGGACCAGGTTCCCTTGGTCTGACAGGTAGCTCCCACATTGCCCACTAATTCATGTCCCACATTGCACTGATACGTTACACGAGCACCAACAGTAAGGCTGGAGGATGTCGCTGTGTACTGACCATTCTCAATACGTGGCTGTGGACATCTAGTTTCTGGAGAAGTACAGTCAGTGGATATGGTAATACCATAACAAGCTACGGTTAGAATTAGCTCACCAATGTCACATACAGTACTCGTGTGGCTTCAGCATGATTTACACAATAGCTCAGGAGTACTTTCCCCTATTTGCTGCAAATTTCTATTATCTCAATCAAATTTCGGCCAGGAGCCTTCATCAGGATTGAGGGGAAACTACTTCCTCGTTTCATTTGAAATAATTATTTTTCAGTGACTCTGTCAATGTTCTGCAAGTGCATGCACGACATCATGTCCTTGCCCTTGGATATTATCGATTGTTTCATTGACACTCTATTACTTGTCTTTGAAGTGCTAGTACATGTACATGACATTGTACTTACTAGTGCATGAGGGCAGCTCTGGAAACCATATCTTATCTGCTTTACACTCCAGTGTGGCCTGACCGTTGAGAGTGTATCCTGGGAAACAGTGATATGTCACTGTATTTCCAACCACCGGGTCGGGCACTGGGAATCCAGCATTGGGTATGCGTGTAGGGTCTGGACACCTGATACCTGAGAACAGGAACACAGTATCACAGCGAAACTTAATTGATCTTCAATTCTTCATACCAATTTCAATTTATAATTATTTGGCAATTAAGGCAACTAAGGTTGCGTACATTGCTTGACAAGACGTTCTGTGGGTTCAGCCTAGACTGAGATCTGACCTACTGAGTACAGCATACGAGGAGAGAAAAAAGGATCGCCTAAAGTTATAGCACGAATGATGTCATGGGGAGTCCCCGTGAGCCATGCACTTACGAAAATGGTTTTACAACTAGGCTAATGCCTGTAAAACTTACATACCTAAACTATTACTTTTTATTTTATTTTATTATTGTTGCCTTACGTTCGCAGGTTGTCTTGATGTTAGACCAGGATCCATCCTTCAGGCAAGTTGCTTGATTCTCGCCGACAAGTTCGTAGTCTGCGAAACATTCGTAAGTCACTGTGCTGCCTACATATAACCCCGTGGTCAAGAAACGTCCATTCCGGATTAGTTCAGGCACGGGACAGTTGATTTCTGAGTATAAAAGCCAGAAAAGAAGAGACAAACATTTCACGTCGGAAATCCATTAGCACTGTGCTGCGAAATCATCAGTGTGGTGCGATACAACGTTGGTTCTCTTTCTAATTAAAGGTAACAACAAAAGAACTGTCCTAATCATGTTGATTTTCTTACTGTAGAACTTACCTCTTACATCCTGTCCATAGATGACGCTGGACAATGACAGAACTCCGCCGAGGATAGCGACTACCATTGTGACAGTGGTCGCCATCTTTGAAAGCTTGCGATAGCTACATGTATGAACCAGTCTATGAACTTATCCTGACCTAATTTTCTGTGCGCTGAGGATACCAGTGCAAGTATTCGCAAATTCCAACCTTCTTCCTTATACTGATAGAACTATGCAATCTTCTGAAACAAAACAGTGAAATTTCCGCTGGACTTCTTTGGTTATCCTTCTACGGATTTTCCGAAGGTGCTTTTGAACTGATGGCTGAAGTCTTGAAAGGTGTCTCTTTTATACATGTTGCTCCACGCCGTTGCCAGAGGAATACAGTGCTGCCTGTAATGAGTCGGTGTTCTACAGCTAAGTGAGAGTAAAGACGAGAATTGGACATGACCACTGATAACTGCTTGGTTATACAATGTAGGTTTGATCACTCCCACACTCTCAGGTACAATTGCCTTTTCTTCAATGTACCCCAATGTCTGAATCGAGTCAAGCAATGTGGGGAGAAGGTTGTTTGCTTGCAACACTGGAGCTCGCGCTTTTCTTACCGATTTAAATACTTGACGTGCGTGAGTAGAACCCACATATTCCAGTATGCATGTGGTGTGTTGGTACTGGAAATCCAACACGGGTTCATGGTTCATGCGGACTGTTTCGCTAACCTTCTCTAGGCTCTGCGTAGGGTGTAGCTTGTTTTGTCGCAAGTGTTTTACCGGCTGCTGGACCATGATCCCTCGACCAAATTACAACACCATACTGCATATTTTCAAGAACAACATAATACAATGTAAATGCATGTACCATTGACTCAATCTCCGGACAGCTAGTTGTTTCGACTTTGTGAGGTCTCCTGAGCGGAGCTGGAGTCACTTAACTGGCCAAATCGATCGCAATGTACCATTCACAGTCAGTATGGTGGCCGGAATTCATGAATTCTTATAATACTTACACGTATGTTCTAGCATGCACTTGTAAAGGCATGTATGGGTATTGTATGTACATAGTCATTGTACATCATACATGTGCAACAGCAATGTGCCATGGAGTGCTGTCGCAATCACCCATTCTGACCACGCGGGTACACACCACAGTTGAACTGGGGTAATTGGTAACTACATGCAACTTGTTCCGGGATTCCGGGTAGTGCACACACTTTATGAGCTGCATGTACATTGTACAAGTATGCACATGAACATCACACCTGTAAGTTGCGGGGGCGTGCAGAACTGGGAGAACTCTGCGTTCATTACGATAGAGAGACGCAAGCCTGATCATGCACATCACCTACATTATGTACAAGCAAGGCACAATAAAACACAGCTCAAGACCAAGAATCGGTGAGCATGAACTACTGAACTACTGAACGATATCGATATGCGATAAACTCAGCGACTGGAGTGGACAGGGTTGATGGTCATATCCTGCGTGTATACATGTACTTGACATGAACTAATGAAGGTTAACATCGCCGACCCACATTCTCACCGCAATGGTCATCCATACTCAATGAGCAGCACCATGAGCCAAGGACGCTCGGAGGTGCATCGATGTGGGAAGCGCTACGGCTGTTGTGGCCAGTCTCGTGGGTGTAGTTAGATCATCTTACATGTACATGCACATGACATATCAAGGATCAGTCGAGGAAGTGAAGTTCTCCCAATCCTTACAAAAAATATTTGACTTCGATCGAGTATACTGTAAAGAAGAAATTTAAAGAAATTTGGCAGGGTAACAATATAAACATCCCCACTTTTTGTGTAGTTCAGGTGCTGCAATCATGTGTTGACAGTACCTATCCATGAAAACGCAACAAAATAGTCAATGCTGCGTGTCCTTGGAGAAGGCATGTTTTTTCCCATCTCGTACTAACAGTCACAGTTTGTTCTCAGGATAATTATATCAACTAGGCGGCCATGATTGGACACTTATTGTCATGTTCGTGGTGAAATTGCGGCCAGAAGCAATTCTCAGGAATGTCACGGACACATACTCCTTGCTGAGTACATTTACTTCATGTAATCATGTACTATGCATGTGAAGAAGATGTCTGTACAAACACAAGTGTATCACGACAAACGGCTGTCAGGTATTGTAGTCCAGGCGTGTCAGAAACCTTTCAAAACAAATGAATAAAAGTTGTGTTCAGTCACTTTACGCAAATGGCCCTAATGCCCCCCCCCCAAAAACACACAAAAAGCATCTTACAAAGTACCTAGCTAGGCAAAGTAGGCTAGCGACAGTATGCCGAAGGGCTGGTTGCAGCTCCTACATGTACATTGTAGATTATAGTAGTCATTAGCTTGAAGACATAAAAATGGCAGCGCTCTACCACTAATAAGCTACATTGTACATGTACATGACTGTACATTGTATGGTGGGCGTGTGTAGCACTACCTTGTTTTATGGGACAAAGACTAAAGAGGGCAGTGTAAAAATGTGCCACGCCCGTCTTGTGGCTTACTAATGTCCTGAAATTGAGTACTTCTTGGACACTGCCTCCGGCTAAAGGTGCTATTAAATCACGATAATTATGATACTGGTTGTTAGGTCGATCGAGAGCAATAAGGAACCGTCCGTAAAGTCGGCATTGCAAGAGGAAATTTGTAAGGTGTTTACATTATGTGGGTAGTGGCTTTTACTGGCTGTACAAGGGTGTATGGGCTCCTGTTAACTTGGTACATTGTACTACTACGTTGTACCTGATTGTGATAGCTCCACTATCGGAGACAAAACATCATGATTGTAATTGTTGAGTGGGTAGATAAACATTCAAACTGTACTCTGATTGTTCTACTATGGTTCAACAGTCATATTCATCATGTCCATGTGCACGTACATGTGTGTACATTTACATCCTGTTGAGTGTTCTAGGCCGCGCTATCACTGGTAGTATGACATTGGTCCATGGACCACCGACCACGGTCTTTGTTGAATGACATCTCTTTTGGTCTTTGTTGAATGACATTCAAGAAAGCCACAAGTGATCGTAAACAATCACGTGTCCTGTCATTTAGTTTTGCCTGTTTATTCCTGAGCTGACTGCAGTGCAGAGGCATGGTATAGTCAGGTATCATCTCCTTCAGCTGCAGCTCATTAGAATAATATTATTATTGTACCAAGAGGACATACGTGTACATGATTGTACATGTACATGTAGGCTCCCGGGGACGTTACATGTACATGTACGTGTACAGTCATGTATGTACTCTTAGTCTTAGGTAAACACCTCGTAGTACATGTACAATGTGACCAGTGAAGTAAGGAATCAGCCGCATGTCCGCCATACATGCAGGCGTCATGCATGCATAACACTAACAGCGTGGGTGGACACACCAGGTTCGCAGGTATCTCACAACTACATAATTATTTAAGAGGCCGACCAGATCAGAGCACCCCACTCGACTTGGCCCTACGCCCCCAGCTGGCAAGATCCCATGCGTTTGTAGGGTAGCTAGCTGTGTCCATTGCTCTGTTCCAGGTAAGATAATAATAATAATGAATACTACAGTAGTATAAGGCCAGGAGTCCCAGGCTGCAGGACCGAGGATCGGTTTCAGTTGTGACGTGTGTGATGTCCGCGACTCCGCGTGTACCCGGAACGCAAGGCGTGCAACTGAGTAAATAAATAATTATAAAATAGATTTACCGTGTTACTTTACCTGCAACAGCCGCGTGTACTGTGGTGTACTGTGGGTTCAATGAGACTCGAGAGCACTCCATCCCACCCGTGCGCATATGTCAATATGACTGTGAGATACGGTGCGTGTATACAATCATCATACATTCTTGAACAGATAGAATACTCAATAGCCCAATGCGCGACGTGCCATCAGTCTTATCCTTGGCCCTGCAAAGTTTCCGGGAAGACATATGCTACAAAGCTACCTACACCCTACGACTACGTGGTGGTTTTGGCCAACAGTCCATCTGCATGAACCCATGTAATGTATACTACTAGTATCCAACACGCCACCATTTGGGGTACGAACGAGTGGGAAGGATCAAGAGCAAGAAGAGAAAACTGAACACCACTGAGGGTCATCCTTTCATGTCCCATGTTCGTTCTCCTATGGCTGATCAACACAGTCATCACAAAACAAATGCAACACCTGCGGACTCGGGCAGACGCTCTCGCTATAAAGGAGACCTCCAAGATCTCCAACATCAGTTCAAAAAAAGCGTCTTCAGCAACCCAGACTGAGAAAGCAAATTAGTTCGGCGGGAGCAACTCGCTTTACCTCTGTTAGCTTCTATTCAGGCTACCTGTTGCTGTATATTCGCAGAGAAATCCTAGAACCTCTCAAAACAATTATTTTATCAAATCCAGTGCCCTGAAGTTCATACTTATACCAATATAATTATTGTTTTAAGTTCTGTTGCCCTAATCGCCGTGTCAGGCAGTCAACATGGAGTCGTTCGGCACTATGGCGATCGTTGTATTATTTGCAATGATGGTATTAACCAACAGGGTATCTGGACAGGATGGCGGAGGTAAGGTCTTAGGATGTTAATACTTGCACAGCTACTCATACATACATTGCATATACGCTCACTGTTCTGTGGCCTGTAGACTAACATGTATGTTGTGATGTATGTTGTGATGCATTCGATTTCTGGACTCCGCACTTGCTGGTTTACTATTCTGATTGTGATAGTTATCTTGAAGCTGACCACACTCCATGGCGTGAATGAATCTTGTGTGATGCACTCTACGGCGCCTGCGTGAGTGATTCATGTGTGATCTTTTTTTTTGTCTCTCACTACCTTGCTCAGGAATCAACTGTCCAATACCCGCACAGATCCGGAATGGCCGTTATACCACAACGGGTCGGAGTGTAGGAAGCACGGTGACCTACGAATGTTTCGCTGACTACGAGCTGATCCGTGAGAAACAAGCCACGTGTCTGCAGGATGGATCATGGTCTAGCTTAGCACCAGAATGTCAACGTAAGAAACCAATACGTCTAACTCTTGCAGTGATAATTGTTCTAAAAGGCACCAGATTCATGTGATACAACAATAGTGCATTGCATTTTCCTCAGTTTAAAAAAATACTGTTAAATTCTCTCTCCTCTAGGTTGGGTTCAAGCTGTGGACAGTATTTTAAAAATTAAACTAAAAATCCTACAACATGAAACCTGATTCACGAGTCACAAGTTCCTGGTTTACATAGTGCATTATTCTTTTCAAAATCGTTTTTTGTCCATTTTTCATGTGTTTTGCAGGTATCCGCTGCCCAGATCCAACACGCATACCTAACGGAGGTTTCCCAGTGCCTGACCCGACAGTTGGTAATACAGTGACATATCGCTGTTTCCCAGGATACACTCTCAATGGTCAGGCCACACTGGAGTGTCAGCCGGATAAGACATGGTTTCCACAGTTACCATCATGCACAAGTAAGTATAGTGAATTACCGCAACATGTTGAACATGTCCGGTAGACCCTCCTGGAAATGTTCCACTTCGTTGTAGAGGAGAACGCACTATACTGTCCCAACCTGTTCAACCACAACATGACAGGATGAACATCTAGTCCCACATTGTGATTCAAAAATCTAACTGTATTTTATAGAAACTCATATACTTGTGGTATACCTACATGTATTCCTGTTACCCCACAGAAACCACATGTCCACAACCACGTATAGAGAATGGTCAGTACACAGCGACATCATCCAGCCTTACTGTTGGTGCTCGTGTAACATATCAGTGCAGCGTGGGATATGAATTAGTGGGCAATGTAGAAGCTACGTGTCAGACCAAGGGCACCTGGTCTAGTCAACCACCAACATGCAAAGGTGAGTAAGCCAGGTCAACTTATCACGTTGACTGGGAATCACTTAACTACACTTTTAACCATACAATGAATGCTTTCTTAAACTAACTAATTATGTCATTACGTTATGTTATGAAGACTAGTTTTAAAGGTAAGATTCAATTCTAACTAATTCCCTCGTTCATTTTGCATATTTTTTATTATGTCCAGCAACTGGATGCTCACCTCCCACATCCATTGCCAATGGCGGCGTTGTCTATCCGAACACACTTGTTGGAAGTCATGCAAATTATCATTGCAACACTGGATTTGAGCTGATCGGTGGAAGTGAGCGCGTATGTCAAGCTGATGGTGCCTGGTCTCCTGAACTTCCTACATGCAGAGGTGAGAAGAACGGGTGTCCAATTATTTCTGGAGAGAACACGCATACACTTAGGCTCTATTACATTGCATCACAGATCCATATTCACAGTAACGTTACTTCGACAATCTGGCACAGACAGATGCCATGTGATGAAGAAAGAAGGTCTTGTCGTAAGTTGTCTCTTGTCTTTCTGATTCTCATCCGTTTCCGGTCTTTTTTTCCTGTATGCAGTCGCTAGTTGTCCTCAGCCAGCTGATATTGTCAATGGCGGTTTCAGGGTGACGGGAACTACAGTGGGAAGTCGTGTTGACTATCGGTGTACTGATGGCTACAGACTTGTGGGTGATGCCCAGGCTTTCTGTCAAGCTTCTAGAACTTGGTCCTCTGTGACTCCGACTTGTGTGCGTAAGTACCCTTCCTACAACTAGTATCTCTCACTGCACTTTGCTGATAAATACTTGCGACCCATTGTGTTCTCACTGCCACTTGTAACCAAAGGTGTTTTCATCATCATTATTTTGGGTGTAGTCACTGTTCAGTTTGCGGTACTCCCGGAAACTTTGCTCCAATGAACCTCTTCCTTCCACTCTTCTGAAACTTACATAAAATCAACTAGCGTTATGTACTACGTGTGTGTTTTCATTCTGGTTTGTCTCCAGGCATTAGTACTTGTCCTCTCCCACCCACCATCAGTAACGCCCAGTATACGTACGACGGTGTTTCAGTGGGTAGCCGTGCATACTATACGTGCGACGAAGGATTTGAGATCGCCGAGAAGGAAACCTCATTGTGCCTGGTTGATGGAACATGGTCCGAACCACCCACATGTAGAGGTACGGATTTAAGCATACATACTCATCACTAGATCGTGCAAACTCGTGATGGTATTGCAAAGAATGACTACCAGCTGCAGAGTGAGAGATTGGGCACATTGTACTTCCGTTGGCCCCTGTAGGTACCTCAATACAGTGACTGATTTTAAGGACACTCGATGCTCAGCATAATACTTGATCCAAATGAGCTGCTTCCAACAGGCCTCAGTAGACAGAGAGAGAATCCCAGGCCATATGATTATATGCTCCTATTGTGAGGGTATGTGTTAGATTCTGACCACCATTTCCAACAAGGTACGCACCATTCCTTTGTGTTCTTTCTCCTGCAGCTACGCATTGTCCTCGTCCTCGCCGAATTGAGAACGCAATTCTTCGCTCCTCCACGTACACAGTCGGTAGTAAAGTACATTATTCATGCAGACAAGGTCATCGTCTCGAGGGACAATCGGATGCTATCTGCCAAGACGATGGAAAGTGGTCGACTGAGCCGCCAGCATGCATTCGTGAGTCATTACCTCCTGCCTATGCAAGTTTGTAATTTCAGCAAATTATGAGCGTCCATTTCGCATCTCTGTATTATCAACCTGCTCTTCCCTTCACCAGGAATAAGTTCCTATCAAGCAAGAACACCCCGCCCCGCTATATCACGGTGTAGGATGATAATCAAAAGTACAAGAATGCTGGTGTACTTTTAGAAGATTGATTGATTAATCTGTTTCCTTTCTGACATGCAGTTGAGGAGCCTTCACTGCCCTGCGAATCGGATCCCTGTTACCATGGTGTCTGTGTGGACCTGCTGGATGACTACATGTGTGTATGTCCTACTGGCTATACAGGGAAGAACTGTGAAAGACGTGAGTACTAGTAGTACTGGCTTTACCATAGTACAAATGCCACAATATGTAGAGCCAGGCTGAAGCATGCATACACACGTTCAGATACTTCTGAAATGACCTTCACTGAGCAACATGGGGCAGCACATAGTGCACCAGATTTGAGCTACAGATTCTTTCATCCAGTCTTTTATTCTTATAAAGCCTCTGTTTCCTATACCTGTTGTTATTGTTTGCGTCTTCTCCTTCAGTGATCAGCTGTTCAGACCCAGGCAGCGTTGATAATTGTGTGATTGACTACACTTCCACAACACTGGGAAGTAAGGCTGTGCACACTTGTGACAAGGGCTATGAGATGGTGGGTGGTCGCGAGGCGGTCTGCCAGACCACTGGACAATGGTCTCAGCAGCCATCATGTGCAGCCAGAGGTGAGGGTAACCTGACTGAGAAGTGATGTGCATGTACCGAACTTCTTTCAATTCTTATCACTTCATCCTCTGGACGAAGAAATCATTTTTGCCATGGACTTCCCTTATCAAGAACGAATGGAACGAGTCAGTACATGCACATGATGTCCTTTTAGCCACTGCGAAGCACAAACACGTTAGTTGCACATGTACCTTCCTTGACAGACATGCATTCTTGTAATTGTAAATGACTTCAAAGCAGTCTTGCTCTGTAAACCCTTACGAGGTACAGGATAAAAAAAATCCATTTCGACTTTGCGAATTTTGGTTGTGGCATATTTGAGATTCCTGCTCTCTTACTATGATGCAGTCTGCCCTGACACTTGCGCCAATCAACTGTCCTCTAAACTGTGTTCTCCTCGCCCTTGTGTCTTTCTATTTTATGGCAGCAGCATCGATGAACTGTGCCCTGCCCAGAGGTATAGCCAATGGACGTGTGACGTATACAGGCACTGCAGTGGGAAGCAGGGTGAGTTGTCATTGTTCCGCCTCCATCTTGCTCTCGTCTTTTCATGCTGAAAAGGATCTTTTCCTAGAAATGGTGCCCATTCTTACAAGCCGCGCGTTATTGCGTGAAAGTATGTTTCTCAACTGTGTCCATCTAAATAGTGTGCAATGCATGTGTACTACGGATAAAATGCGGACTAAGAAATCCATTACAGGTACAGTGTATCCTCTTTTGGCTTCGGTTAAGGGTTTGTCTCATTGTCTTTCTGCCATTGTCCACCACCTAAATTGTTCTACATGTGTTTGAAGTTCCTATTTCAAAGTGCGGGTACACATGTACGTCAAGTATAATGTATTTTAAGAATGTGTTGCAATGTGTGCAAATCCTTCGGCCTCTTCTTTCCCTGCTCACTCTGTTCATCAGATTATATACCGCTGCAGCCGTGGATTTAGGCTGATTGGCAGCGCAAAAGTCACCTGTTTGTCCAATGGAAGATGGACTGCAGCTGCAGCCACGTGTAGTCGCATCAGCTCCGGTAGCTCCAGTGACGATGACAACTCTCACAGGAGCAGCAACAATATGAACGGCAGCAGCAGCAGCAGAAGTAGCAGCAGTAGCAGCAGTGAAGACTAAATTGAATCTTTCTTAATTAATTATTAATAAAGAGCACACATCAGAGCATGACGAGTTTCAATAGCAAATTACTGCATTTTGTACGGTGATCTTTTTTACTCTTTCCAATAATCATGGTTCTATTGGAAGTATTTAAACCTATATAAATACACTTAGTATGTACATCAAACCAAAGAACTACAACATTAATAGAAACCTTACATGATAATTTGTTTCTCAGAGCAGTGATCAGGTCCTCTGGTATCCTACTAAGATTCTACGGCGTGTTGCTTCGTTACATCTTCATTAAAACTATTTTAACCTTTCATTCGAATGTACAGTACCATACATATGCCGGTGGAATCCAGGAATTTGACACTTGAAAACAAAACTATTGAAACGCAGAAAATAGAATAAATCGATGGTAGTATCAGATCCATACCACACCTTGATATAACCTTGTCTGCCATAGCCACTTGACCTGTACAAGGTGTGGTGAAGGCTTGTGAGTGTTTTAAATCATGCTGATCCAGCTACAGTAGCGGATGTGACCAGTGAAATCAGGACAGATGTTCACTTTGAGGCGCTCAGCTGAAGGCTATTCTACTGGCCATTGAGACGACGAACCTTTCCTCTGGTGCATGACATCAATGAAATCGGTCCGCTGTTCTACACATAGGGTAGGAGTTTCACCTGAAAAACTGAGATTGTGTAAACCATGTCGGACCTCTCCGGCAAGCACTTTCCACCTCCTGCTGGCAGGCTGCTGCACCATCCCAAAGTGTGTTACCGGCACAAACCTAACCCTAAGTTAGGCCTAACTCTAACTCTAACCCAAACACTAACGCTAGCCCTAATCCTAAGCCTAACCCTAAGCCTCAGCCCCAGCCTAAGCCTAACCTTAAACAAAACCATAACCCTAACCCTTACCCTAACCGTAACCCTCACCCTAAACCTAACACTAGCCCTAACCTTCCCCCTAACCCTAACCCTAACCCTAACCCTAATCCTAACCCTAACCCTAACGCTAACCCTAACCCTAACCCTAACCCTAACCCTAACCCTAACCCTAACCCTAACCCTAATCCTAACCCTAACCCTAACCCTAACCCTAACCCTAACCTTAAGACTAAGACTTAGCCCAAGCCTAGGCCTAAACCTAAACCTAAGCCTAACCCGGATAATCCTAACCGTAAACCTAAATCTAACCTTTACCCTTACTCTGGCCCTAACACTTACCCTCATCCTACGCCTAAGTCCAAGCCCAAGCCAAACCCTAACACTAACCCTAACCCTAATCCTTGCACTAATCCCAACCCAAGACGTACATAAACCTTGGCCCAAACCGAAGCTTAAGCCTATGCCGAAGCCTAACCCTAATCCCTAATCCCCACGCCTAAGCCCAATCCTAAGCCTAACCCTAACTTAGCCCTACCCAAACCCTAACGCTAACCCCAACCCTAACCCCAAATCTAACCCTAACCCTAAACCTAACCCTAACATTAACCCTAGCCCTAAGCCTAAGTCTAGGCCTAAGTTAAGCCTAAACCTAACCCTTACACTAACATGGAAAGAGAAAAGAACCTATAAGTTACGAGTTATGACTAACAGTCCACCAAGGTAACGAGACAATAATACAGTCAGATAGTGCGACAACAAGGCACAAAACTAACAAGGATATTGAGACATTCGACGGCCTGATACCCAGCTCCAACACATCTACAAAGCGCAAACCAACAACCTTCCCAATAGGAAAGCTCAGATGCGGAAAGTTCCAATGAGGGGAAGGGATGGGCCACGAAGATGTGCACAAGCTATGTCCCTCGGCAACAAAGAATGTCGAACGTTATGAGAATGATGATGATGACGAGACTAGTGAGACCATTGGACAAACCGGTCTAACTACAACTCCAAAACGCAAGGCAACATACCACCCAACTTGGGAGGCTCAACACATGAAGAGGGGAAGCCAAGCCACATTACTATTGGCTCAACATCCGAGTTTTTAACCTTACACTAACCCTAACCCTAGACCTAGAGGTGAGACCTAAGCATAAGCCTTACGTTAACTCCTACCCTGCCCCTAACCCTAACCATTACCCTAACTCTAACCATAACCATAAGCTTAACCCTAACTCTAACTCTATGCCTCAGCCTAAGCCTAAGCCTGACCCTAACCCTAACCCTAAGCCTAAGGCCGCGGTCACACCAAGCGCGATTCAGCCATTCAGCGGAAAAAAGCGCTTTTTAATGTCATCGTTGCTACAGAAACGGCTGAATTTTCGGCTTCAGCCGTTCTCAGCAGTCAGCCGTTTTCGAAGCGCTGAGTGGAGCGCTGAATGGATTCAGCCACTTTCAGCCATTCTGCACCAGTGGTGGTAAAAACAAACTCGTGCAAATCCAAAGCGCATCTTGCCAATCGATGCATCGCGTTCTGAAATATTCCGTTGTTGGTCCAACTTCTTTCATTGCCTGCTGTCTGCCACGGTTATTGTTTTAACTCGGATACTGAGCCAGTAGTAAATGCAAAAAAGAGAAGAAACACATGAGAACGAGTTATGCAGCAACTACCCACGACTGTAACAAGATCGAAGAGAGAGAGACAAGGCGGCCATGGTTGGACGCGTATTGTCATGTTCGTGGTGAAATTGCGGCCAGAAGCAATTAACAGGAATGTCACGGATGGACACATACTCCTTGCTGAGTACATTTACTTCATGTAATCATGTACTATGCATGTGAAGAAGATGTCTGTACAAACACAAGTGTATCACGACAAACTACTGTCAGGTATTGTAGTATTGGCGTGTCAGAAACCTTTCAAAACAAACAAATAAAAGTTCTGTTCCGCCACATTATCCACATGGCCCCAATGCCCCCAAAACACAAAAAAGCATCTGACAAAGTGCCTAGCCTGGTGTAGGCTATCAACAGTATGTCGAAGGGCTGGTTGTAGGTCACTATAATAGTAACATGTAGTATTCATTAGTTTGAAGACATGATAATGGCAGCGACCTACCACTGAGCCACATTATGCATGTACATGTACATGTACTGCACTTGTCATTATCGTCATTATGTACATGTACACGACATTGTACAGTCATGTATGGTGTGCGTGTATAGCACTACCTTGTTTTATGGGATAAGAGGGCATTGTAAAGATGTGCCACGCCCGTCTTGTGGCTTATTAGTGCCCTCAAATCCAGTACTTCTCGCACGCTGCCTCCGGCTAAAGGTTCTTTAAATCACGATAATTATGATACTGGTTTTTAGGCCGATTGAGAGCAATCAGGAACCGTCCGTAAAGTCGACATTGCAAGAGGAACTGTGTAAAGTGTTTACGTACATGTAATGTGGGTACTGGCTGTTACTGTGTACAGTAACAAGGTTGTATGGGCTCCTGTTGACTGTGACTTGGTAGATGTACTACGTTGTACCGGATAGTGATAGCTCCACTATCGGAGAGAAAACATCATGATTGTATTTATTGTCTAATATTGAGTGGGTAGATACACATGATTAACATTCAAACTGTACCCTGATTGTTCTACTGTCGTTCTACAGTCATGTGCATGTACATTTACATGATTGTACAACCTGTTCAACGTTTGAATGACATTCAACAAAGCTTTAAAGCCACAATGCAAGTGATCTTAAACAATCACGTGTCCTGTCATTAGTGATAATAGTGTTGCCTGCGCTGACTGCAGTGCAGAGGCCTGGTACCTGTATACATGTAGTCAGGTAATATCTTCTTGAGCCCCGGCTCATTAGAATAATTACTACACCAAGACTCAAGAGTACATACATGTACATGTACATGTAGGCTCACGGGGAGGTTACATGTACATGTACATGTACATGCTATTGACGTTGGTATACTGCGTTTGGTGTAGTGATCCTGGAGATGCACTCAACTTCCTTCTCAAGTCAAGACAAGAAGTAAACAACTCGTACAGTGTGAACACTGTTATATAAACAGTAAAGTACGTGTCCTCCACGCATGCAGGCGTCATGCATGCATAGCCGTGTGGGTGGACATACCAGGTTCGTCCGTATCTCACATGACATTCTACATCTAAGAGGCCGATCAGATCAGAGCAAGCCACTCGACTTGGCCCTACACCCCCGCGACCCTAGGCCTAGCTGGCAAGATCTAATGCGGTTGTAGGGTAGCTAAGCTAGCTGTGTCCATTGCTCTGTCCCAGGTAAGATCAGGCCAGGGCCAGGACCGCGGATCGGTTACAGTTGTGACGTGTGTGATGTCCCCGCGTGTACCCGGAATCCAACGCGTGCAACTGAGTAAATAAATAATAAAATAGATTTACCGTGTTACTTTACCTGCAACAGCCGCGTGTACTGTGGTGTACTATGGGTTCAATGAGACTCGAGTCGAGAGCACTCCATCCCACCCGTGCGCATAATTATGTCAATAAGACTGTGAGATACGGTGCGTGTATACAATCATCATACATTCTTGAAAAGATAGAATACTCAATAGCCCAATGCGCGACGTATCATCAGTCTTATCCTTGGCCCTGCAGAGTTTCCGGGAAGACATATGCTACAAAGCTACCTACACCCTACGTGGTGGTTTGAGCCAACAGAACATCTGCATGAACCCATGTAATGCATACTACTAGTATCCAACACGCCACCATTTGGGGTACGAACGAGTGGGAAGGATCAAGAGCAAGAAGAGAAAACTGAACACCACTGAGGGTCATCCTTTCATGTCCCATGTTCGTTCTCCTATGGCTGATCAACACAGTCATCACAAAACAAATGCAACACCTGCGGACTCGGGCAGACGCTCTCGCTATAAAAGAGACCTCCAAGATCTCCAACATCAGTTCAAAAAAAGAGTCTCCAGCAACCCAGACTGAGAAAGCAAATTAGTTCGGCAGGAGCAACTCGCTTTACCTCTGTTAGCTTCTTTTCAGGCTACCTGTTGCTGTACATTCGCAGAGAAATCCTAAAACCTCTCAATACAATTATTTTATCAAATTCAGCCATTGGAGATCATACTTATACCAATACAGTATAATTGTTTTAAGTTCTGTTGCCCTAATCGCCGTGTCAGGCAGTCAACATGGAGTCGTTCGGCACTATGGCGATCGTTGTATTATTTGCAATGATGGCATTAACCAACAGGGTATCTGGACAGGATGGCGGAGGTAAGGTCTTAGGATGTAAATACTTGCACAGCTACTCATACATACATTGCATATACGCTCACTGTTCTGTGGCCTGTAGACGTACATGTATGTTGTGATGCATTCGACTTCTGGACTCCGCACTTGCTCGTTTACTATTCTGATTGTGATAGTTATCTTGAAGCTGACCACACTCCATGGCGTGAATAAATCTTGTGTGATGCACTCTACGGCGCCTGCGTGAGTGATTCATGTGTGCTATTTTTTTTGTCTCTCACTACCTTGCTCAGGAATCAACTGCCCAATACCCGCACAGATCCGGAATGGCCGTTATACCACAACGGGTCGGAGTGTAGGAAGCACGGTGACCTACGAATGTTTCGCTAACTACGAGCTGATCCGTGAGAAACAAGCCACGTGTCTGCAGGATGGATCATGGTCTAGCTTAGCACCAGAATGTCAACGTAAGAAACCAAAATACTCTAATTTCAGAAATTTTCGGTGCTCAATATTTTCGGTATGAGGGCAACAGGCTAGGTTAGGTGAACAGAAATTTTCGGTACACAGAAGCAGTTCCCTATTGGATTATGTGTTTAAGTGTTTGTTCGGTGTATTGAAATTTTAGGTATGAAACAGACGCACCGAAAGTACCGAAAATAAAAGTACACCGAAAATTTGTGAAATTACAGTACGTCTAACACTTGCAGTGATAATTCTTCTAAAAGGCACCAGATTCATGTGATACATCAATAGTGCATTGCATTTTCCGCAGTTTAAAAAATCGTGTTAAATTCTCTCTCCTCTAGGTTGGGTTCAAGCTGTGGAAAGTATTAAACTACAAATCCCAAAACATGAAACCTGATTCACGAGTCACAAGTTCCTGGTTTACATAGTGCATTATTCTTTTCAAAATCGTTTTCTTTGTCCATTTTTTAATGTGTTTTGCAGGTATCCGCTGCCCAGATCCAACACGCATACCTAACGGAGGTTTCCCAGTGCCTGACCCGACAGTTGGGAATACAGTGACATATCGCTGTTTCCCAGGATACACGCTCAATGGTCAGGCCACACTGGAGTGTCAGCCGGATAAGACATGGTTTCCACAGTTACCATCATGCACAAGTAAGTATAGTGAATTACCGCAAAATGTTGAACATGTCGTGTTGACCCTCCTGGAAATGTTCCACTTCGTTGTAAAGGAGAACGCACTACATGTATATTATCCCAACCTGTTCAACCACAATATGACAGGATGAATATCTAGTCCCACATTGTGATTCAAAAATCTAACTGTATTTCATATTTTGTGGTATACCTACATGTACATTGTACTCCTTTTTCCCCACAGAAACCACATGTCCACAACCACGTATTGAGAATGGTCAGTACACAGCAACATCCTCCAGCCTTACTGTTGGTGCTCGTGTAACGTATCAGTGCAGCGTGGGATATGAATTAGTGGGCAATGTAGAAGCTACGTGTCAGACCAAGGGCACCTGGTCTAGTCAACCACCAACATGCAGAGGTGAGTAAGCCAGGTCAACTAAATAACGTTGACTGGGAATCACTCAACTACACTTTTAACCATACAATGAATGCTTTCTTAAATTAACTACAGAACATAATAATTATGTCATAACGTTAAGTTATGCAGACGAGTTTTAAAGGGAAGATTCAATTCTAACTAATTCCCTCGTTCATTTTGCATATTTTTGTCGTGTCCAGCAACTGGATGCTCACCTCCCACATCCATTGCCAATGGCGGCGTTGTCTATCCGAACACACTTGTTGGAAGTCGTGCCAATTATCATTGCAACACTGGATTTGAGCTGATCGGTGGAAGTGAGCGCGTATGTCAAGCTGATGGTGCCTGGTCTCCTGAACGTCCTACATGCAGAGGTAAGAAGAACGGATGTCCAATTATTTCTGGAGAGAAAACGTATACACTAGTCTTATGCTCTATTGTATTGCATCACAGATCCATAATTATTCACAGTAACGTAACTTCGACAATCTGACACAGACAGAAGCCACGTGATGGAGAAGGAACGTCTTGTCGTAAGTTGTCTCTTGTCTTTCTGATTCTCATCCGTTTCCTGTATTTTGTCTTGTGTGCAGTCGCTAGTTGTCCTCAGCCAGCTGATGTTGTCAATGGTGGTTTCAGGGTGACGGGAACTACAGTGGGAAGTCGTGTTGACTATCAGTGTACTGATGGCTACAGACTTGTGGGTGATGCCCAGGCTTTCTGTCAAGCTTCTAGAACTTGGTCCTCTGTGACTCCGACTTGTGTGCGTAAGTACCCTTCCTACTACTAGTATGTCTCACTGCACTTTGCTGATAAATACTTGCGACCCATTGTGTTCTCACTGCCACTTGTAACCAAAGGTGTTTTCTTCATCATTATTTTGTGTGTAGTCACTCTTCAGTTTGCGGCACTCCCGGAAACTTTGCTCCAATGAACCTCTTCCTTCCACTCTTCTGAAACATACAGAAAATCAACTAGCGTTGTGTACTACGTGTTTGTTCCATTCTGGTTTGTCTCCAGGCAGTAGCACTTGTCCTCTCCCACCCACCATCAGTAACGCCCAGTATACGTACGACGGTGTTTCAGTGGGTAGCCGTGCATACTATACGTGCGATGAAGGATTTGAGATCGCCGAGAAGGAAACCTCATTGTGCCTGGTTGATGGAACATGGTCCGAGCCACCCACATGTAGAGGTAAGGATTTCAGCATACATACTTATCACTAGATCGTACAACCTCGTGATGGCATTGCAAAGAATGACTACCAGCTGCAGAGTGAGAGATTGAGCACATTGTACTTCCGTTGGCCCCTGTAGGTGCCTTAATACACTCAATACACTCGATCCTCAGCATATACTTGATCCAAATGAGCTGCTTCCAACGGTGCCTCAGTAGACAGAGAGAGAATCACCGGCCCTTATGATTGTATGCTCCTATTGAGTGGGTATGTGTTAGATTGTGCACACCATCTCTAATAAGGTACGCACCATTCCTTTTGTGTTCGTTATCCTGCAGCTACGCATTGTCCTCGTCCTCGCCGAATTGAGAACGGCATTCTTCGCTCCTCCACGTACACAGTCGGTAGTAAAGTACATTATACATGCAGACAAGGTCATCGTCTCGAGGGACAATCGGATGCTATCTGCCAAGACGATGGAAAGTGGTCGACTGAGCCGCCAGTATGCATTCGTGAGTCATTACCTCCTGCTCATTCGATTTTGTAATTACAGCAAATCATGAGCGTCCATTTCGCATCCCCGTACTATCAACCTGCCCCTCCTTTCACCGTGAATAAGTTCCTATCAAGCAAGACTGTGACGCCCCGCTCCACTATATCATGGTGTAGGATGATAATCAAATGTACAAGAATGCGGGTTTTCTTTTAGAAGACTGATTGCCAGTAATCTGTTTCCTTTTATTCTGACATGCAGTTGAGGAGCTTGCACTTCCCTGCCAATCGGATCCCTGTTACCATGGTGTCTGTGTGGACCTGCTGGATGACTACATGTGTGTATGTCCTACTGGCTATACAGGGAAGAACTGTGAAAGACGTGAGTACTAGTACTGGAGACGTTTGCGCTCCCAATGCCGGAATACTCCTCTCTAGCTTGCTCCTTACGTATAGCTTAGTTAATTACAGGTCGCATGATTCCCTTAGAAGTGCTTACAGATGCAGCTGCCATATCATGACATCCTAAAGATTCAACTTGTGCCTTGGCTTCACCATGGCACAAATGCCACAATATGTAGAGCCAGGCTGAAGCATGGATACACATGTTCAGATACTTACTGAAATGACCTTCACTGAGCAACATGGGGCAGCACATAGCGCACCAGGTTTGAGCTACAGATTCTTTCATCCAGTCTTTTATTCTTATAAGGCCTCTGTTTCCTATACCTGTTGTTATTGTTCGCGTCTTCCCCTTCAGTGATCAGCTGTTCAGACCCAGGCAGCGTTGATAATTGTGTGATTGACTACACTTCCACCACACTGGGAAGTAAGGCTGTGCACACTTGTGACAAGGGATATGAGATGGTGGGTGGTCGCGAGGCGATCTGCCAGACCACTGGACATTGGTCTCAGCAGCCATCATGTGCAGCCAGAGGTGAGGGTAACCTGACTGAGAAGTGATATGCATGTACCGAACTTCTTTCAATTCTTATCACTTCATCCTCTGGACGAAGAAATCATTTTTGCCAAGGACTTCCCTAATCAAGAACGAATGGAACGAGTCGGTACATGCACATGATGTCCTTTTAGCCATTGCGAAGCACAAACACGTTAGCGGCACATGTCCCTTCCTTGAGAGACATGTATTTTTTGTAAGTTTAAATGACTTCAAAGCAGTCTTGCTCTGCAAACCCTTACGAGGTACAGGATAACAAATATCCATTTCAACTTTGCGAATTTTGGTTGTGGCATATTTAAGATTCCTGCTCTCTTACTATGTTGCGGTCTGCCCTGACACTCGCGCCAATCAACTGTTTTCTAAACTGTGTTCTCCTCGCCCTTGTGTCTTTTCTGTTTTATGGCAGCAGCATCGATGAACTGTGCCCTGCCCAGAGGTATAGCCAATGGACGTGTGACGTACATGTATACAGGCACTGCAGTGGGAAGCAGGGTGAGTTGCCATTGTTCCGCCTCCATCTTGCTCTTGCCCTTTCATGCTGACATGGATCCTTTCCTAGAAATGGTGCCCACTCTTACAACCCGCGCGTTGTGTATTGCGTGCGAGTATGTTTCTCAACTGTGTCCATCTAAATAGTGTGCAATACATGTGTACTACGGATAAAATGTGGACTAAGAAATCCATTACAGGTTTCCTCTTTAGGCTTCAGTTAAGGGTTTGTCTCATTGTCTTTCTGCCATTGTCCACCACCTAAATTGTTCTACATGTGCTTGAAGTTCCTATTTCAAAGTGCGTGTACACATGTACGTCAAGTATAATGTATTTTAAGAATGTGTTGCAATGTGTGAAAATCCGTCTGCCTCTTCTTTCTCTGCTTCTCTCTGTTCATCAGATTATATACCGCTGCAGCCGTGGATTTAGGTTGATTGGCAGCGCGAGAGTCACCTGTTTGTCCAATGGAAGATGGACTGCAGCTGCAGCCACGTGTCGTCGCATCAGCTCCCGTAGCTCCAGTGACGATGACAACTCTTTCAAGAGCAGCAACAATAGGAACGGTAGCAGCAGCAGCAGCAGTAGCAGCAGTGAAGACTAAATTGAATCTTTCTTAATTAATTATTCATAAAGAGCACACATCAGAGCATGACGAGTTTCAATAGCAAATTACTGCATTTTGTAGGGTGATTTTTTACTCTTTCCCATAATCATGGTTCTATTTGAAGTATTTAAACCTATAGAAAAACACTTCCGGTGTTCATCCAACCAAAATCTGAAACATTTATAGAAAACTTACATGATAATTTGTTTTTCAGAGCAGTTATCATGTCCTCTTGGTATCCTACTAAGATTCTATGGCGTGTTGCTTCGCTACATCTTCATCAGCTATTTTAACCTTTCATTCGAATGTACCATACATATGCCGGTGGAATCCAGGAATTTGACACTTGAAAGCAAAACTATTGAAACGCAGCAAAGAGAAATAAATCGATGCCTAGTATCAGATTAATATGACGCCATGATGTTATCTTGTCTGCCATAGCCACTTGACCTGTACAAGGAGTGGTGAAGGCTCGTGATTTTTCTTAAACATGCCGACCCAGCTACAGTAGCTGGTGTGACCAGTGACACCAGGAAAGATGATCACTTTGAGGCGCCGAAGGCTATTCCACTGGCCAATGAGGCGATGTACCTTTTCTCTGGAGTATATCATTGAAATCGGTCCGCTGTACTACACATAGGTTAGGGGTTTCGACTGGAAAAAGGTACTGAGATTTTGTAAACCATTTTGGAACTCTTCAGCCAGCACTTTCCTTAGGGGAATTCCGCCTCCTGCTGCGCCATCCCAAAGAATATTACCAGCACAATCCTAACCCTAACCCTAACCCTAAGCCTAACCCTAACCCTAACTCTAACCCTAACCATAACCCTAACCCTAAGTCTGAGCCTAGGACTAAACCTAAGCCTAAGGCTAAGCCGAAGCCGAAGACGAAGCCGAAGCCGAAGCCGAAGTCTAAGCCGAAGCCGAAACCGAAGCCGAAACCTAAAGCTAAGCCAAAGCCTAACCCTATACCTAACCCTAACCCTAACCCTAACCCTAACCCTAACCCTAACCCTAACCCTAACCCTAACACTAACCCTAGCCCTAGCCCTAGCCCTAACCCTAACCCTGACCCTAACCCGAACACTTACCCTAACCCTAACTCTGACCCTAACCCTAACCCTAAACCTGACCCTGACCCCAACCCTGACCCTAACCCTAACCCTAACCCTAACCCTAACCCTAACCCTAACCCTAATACAAACACTGACCATAACCTTACCTCCTGGTCCTAACCCTAACCCTGACCCTATACCTAACCCTAACCCTACCCCTACCCCTACCCCTTACTCTAAACCTAACCCTAACCATACCCTTAGCCCTAACGCTAACCCTAAGCCTAAGCCTAGGCGTAAGCCTAAGCCAAAGCCTAAGCATAACCCTAACCATGACCCTAACCCTAACCCTAACCCTGACCCTACCTCTACCCTACCCCTAACCCTAATCTTAACCCAAACTCTAACTCTAACCCTAACCATTAGCCTGACCCGAACTCTAACTATAAGCCTAAGCATAAGCCTAAGCCTAACCATAACTATAACCATGACCCTAACCCTAACCCCAACTCTAACTCTAACTCTAACCCTACCCCTAACCCTAACCCTAACCCTAACTCTAACTCTGACCCTAACCATTTATTACCCTGACCCGAACTCTAACCCTAAGCCTAAACCTAAGTCTAAGCCTAAGCCTAACCCTGACACTAAGATTAACCCAAACCCTAACCCTAACCCTGATCCCAATCCTAACCCTAACCCTAACCCTGAGCCGAAGCCTAAGCCTACCTCAAACCTTGACCCTGACGCTAACCTTACTCTAATTCTAACTGTAAGCCTAAGCCTAGACCTAAGCCTAAGCCTACGCCTAATCCTAACCCTAACCCTAGTACTAATACAAGCACGGACCCTGACCCTACCCCTGATTATGCATATGCAGAACAATTGGCAGAATTCGGTACTTTTTCTGGTAAGTTTCATGCATGTTCGTGATGTGGATAAAGAAATGGAGCAGAATTCGAGGAATTGCCCGCCATAAGGTTTGTATGGTTCTGCCAATTTCACTCCTTTTTGAGCAGAATCTGCCACCTTTTCGAGCCGAATCCGCACACCCTACCCCTGATCCTAACCCTAACCTTAACCCTAACCCTAACCCTAACCCTAGCCCTAGCCCTAACCCTAACCCTAACCCTAACCCTAAACCTAACCCTAACCCTAACCCTAACCCTAACCCTAACCCTAACCCTGACCCTGACCTTAACCCTAACCCTAACCCTAACCCTAACCCTAACCCTAACCCTAACCCTTTCCCAAACCCTAACCATAATTAGTAGCAGTGGTGAGGCTTCCTGCGGCTTCATTCATAGGAAGAAAAAGGTTTCAGAGCAGACTCGCTGTCTTCCCATTCAATCTGCATAACTCGAACTCATTCTCAATCAATTTTTTACAACGTTTCCGCAACATTACCCTCATAGGGTATGTTGCATACCTGATAAGGGAAATTTTGCCGAAACGTTATAAAATACTGAATGAGAAATGAGTTTTGCAGAGTGAACGGGAAAAGAGCGAGTCTGCTCTGAAAACCTTTTGTCCTAACCCTGATACAAGCACTGACCCTAACCCTACCCCTGGTCCTAACCCTAACCCTGACCCTATACCTGACCCTACCCCTGATCCTAACCCTGACCCTGACCTTACCCCTAACCCTAACCCTAACGCAAACCCTAACCCTGACCCTGACCCTGACCCTAACCCCTAACCCTAAACCTAACCCTAATCCTTTCTCTAACACTAACCCTGACCCTAACCCTAACCCTAATTAGTAGCAGTGGTGAGGCTTCCTGCGGCTTCATTCATAGGAAAAAAAGGTTTCAGAGCAGACTCGCTCTCTTCCCATTCACTCTGCATAACTCGAACTCATTTCTCAATCCATTTTTTAAAACGTTTCCGCAACATTACCCTCATAAGGTATGTTGCATACCTGATGAGGGCAATTTTGCCGAAACGTTGTAAAAACTGAATGAGAAATGAGTTCGAGTTTTGCAGAGTGAATGGGAAGAGAGCGAGTCTGCTCTGAAAACCTTTTTTCCTAACCCTGATACAAGCACTGACCATAACCCTACCCCTGGTTCTAGGCGTAACCCTGACCCTATACCTGTTGTGACTAGAGTCTAGACTCTCTTAGTCCCACAACATAACTAACTTCATAAGGACTGGGATTAATTCTCATTCAGTACTACATGACTTACTCTGATCTCTGATCATCAAGAAGCTAGGTAAAACCATAAAGCCATCAAAACAAACAAAAGGGCTAATGCTACGTGGACGATATCGTCACACAAACATACACGTGATATTATGTACAACTTCGTGATGTAATCACGACATTCCAACACACAGGTGGAGAGATCAATCACAAAAGACCTGGTGACCAAAGGGAGAAAGATTATAATAGCGCATAAGAACCGCGTATTTAGGTGATTATTATTATTTGGGTATTGTTAATGTTAACTAGGGCAGTCCCCACAGACGCATGTCTCCTGACAGGCTACGCTAATGATGTGACATATCTTGTGAACCAAATTGCGAAGGTACTGAAGAGCAAGGACACATAAGTCATGGAGCCCATACTACACCCTAGTGCCAAAGTAGTGAGTGGGAGAGCAAGTTGGCAGAGGAAAAGAAAACTCGAATAAAAAGGGGGGTGAACATAATTATACAGCTTGAGTGGATGATAGCTGATTGAGACAGACACCAGCATGGTGAACTAAACCAAGTCTGCCTCGTGCAAATCCAGGACACGTCCTAAGCCTTCGATAGCAGCTCGTCTTACCGGTCGAGAAGCTGTTGCAGGGACGTGTGCGTCGTTGGTTACAGCGGGAGGCTGTGGTTCATTCGACGAGTGGTCAGCAGGTCGAGCAGACTCACACTCCAACGGATATAGGTGCTGTAGTGAGCGCCGTAGGAGCTTGTTATTGGGCGTCCTCACAGTGGCGGAACGCGTTTCTCCATCACGACTAGCGTGAAGTTCGCTGATGATACCCAGTTTCCACATACCTCTGGGCGCGTCGTCCTTGATGAGGCACACATGTCCAATCCTTGGCTTCACGGTAGAATGAGCAACCTGTTTCAACTGCGATTGTTGCCGTTCTCGTAGACTGGTTAGGTATTCAGATCTCCAACAGTTCCAAAACTCATTCAATCGCTTCTGACCTTTCTTCCACGTAGAAAGTAGCAGTTCCGCTGACGACATTGTTGGGGCGAAATCAGGGTCCTCTTCTACATGCCCTTGGGGTAGACTGATTTCGGCTGATAATGATAAGAAGTGGGCAGGTGTCAAGACCGTATAGATCTCATCGCTTACGTACACCAGCGGTCGTGAATTTACTACTGCTTCAACTTCGACGAGAATGGTTGACAGCTCCGTTGTTCCGAGAACTAGTCTGCCAATAGACTTACGGAGGGCTTTCTTCACGATTCCAATCAACCGTTCATAGAACCCGCCCATCCATGGGGAGAGTTGCACAATGCAAATCCATTCGATTCCATGGGAAGCAGCATAATTAAGAGTGTGATCATCCTTCACAATGGCTTCCCAAGCAAGCTGTAGAGTCGATTTCGAAAGCAGGAATTGCTAAGCGTTGTCAGAGAAGATCTTGCGCGGTACTCCTCTTCTTGCCACAAATCTGCGCAATGCCATCAGGAACTGTTCTGTGGTCATGTCAGCAACAAGCTCGAGGTGGATGGCACGTGTGACCATGCACGTAAATAGGCACACCCATACCTTGTGGATGAGTCCATGTTCTCTGACTGTCATTAGAGAGGTTTCGCCTCACGTTGTTCTGCACTACACCGTGAAATTTCACGTCGGTACGCGGTGTGGCAAATTTTGGCGTCGAAACTCCCGTTCATGACGTGAGCTGAGGTCAACTCACGTTCGACGTGAACGCGAGTTTTTGCAAATTTAGCCTTGCTATCAGGTTGGGATTATTGACTCGATTTGTCGATTTTGCCTAAACTAGCTATAAATAATATTTGTGCGACTTCGGCCTCACCAAAAATCACTTTTTCACTTTTTGAAGTTTTCGCTCCCAGTTTTCGCTCCTGTCGTCAGCGAAACGACGTGCTTCACATGTGCACAAGCAACGACGTGAAACGAAAGCTCTTTCTGAGCTCGCGTCGACGCAAAAAATTGACGTTCACGTAAGAGCACAAATCACGCGGGTCGAAACCTCTCTATTGGGCCAAAGTAGTCGACGCCGACGTGTGAACGGTTTAGACTCAGCTACGCGCTCTGGAGGGTAGGGTGCCATTTTCGGTAGCGAGTACGGCCGACCATTCAACCTCTTGCATACACCACATTTCTTGAGTACAGTCTTGACGGTTTGTCGTCCTCTGGGGACCCAATAGTCATACCTGACTCGCGATAGGGTATGGTTAGTTCCACTGTGCAGCACCATGCGGTGACAGTCATTGATGATAGCTGTGGTTACTGGATGTGAACGAGGTAGAAGGATGGGATACTTCGCTGAGTATGGTAGGGATGAATTCTCCAATCGACCCTTGCAGCGGATGAGGTTATGTTCATCTAGAAAGAGCGCAAGGTTTTGGACCAGCTTGTTCTTGGCGTTGCTTTTGATAGCCTCAATCTCCGGTGTATAGTGTGTTGCTTGAACATGTTGAATCCACAGATGTTTGGCGTTGTCGATTTCAGCAGCAGACAAATGAGTGCCGCATGTGGTCTGTTGACGGCATCTCTTGACAAACTTGATACCGTATGCTGTTACACGGGCTAGCTTCTCAAACGAAGTATACTTGCTCTCATCTATACTCAGCGGTGATGGCTTGCTGCATGCTGGTCTCGGTTTCCGCAGGACCCTCCGCCGCGAATAGTACTGTGGAAGGAGCATCGATGACGTCTTTGGGCCAGTGTACAGGAGGATCTCGAAGCCATTCTGAACCACACCACCAAGCTGTACTGTCTGTCAGTGTGGCTAGCGATGCTCCACGGGATGGTAGGTCGGCTGGGTTGTCGGCTGTACGGATATAATTGAAGCACACACTCTGGTCTGCACGGATTTCCTTCAACCGATTGGCGATGAAGACAGGGTACGATTTCTCAGTATTCTTAATCCAGCCAAGCACGCACTGTGAGTCAGACCACAGGTGGGTAGCTGAGATGTGAACTGCGCCCAGAAGCTCTTTCTTCAGAAATTTGATGATCCTGGCGCCGATGAGTGCTGCTAGGAGCTCTAGACGTGGTGTACTTGTAGCCTTGATGGGCGAGACTCGTGTTCGGCTGTAGATCAGGTCAACTGACGAATAGGCACCGTCAACTTGTCTCACACACAGGTACGCGGCTGCACCGTAACCATCTTGACTCGAGACGCATCACAGAAGACGTGGAGTTCATAGGTGACCTTGTCGACGTGGATTTTTGGTCCAATGAAGCGAGGAATGGCAACGTCACTTGCGCAGGACAGATCGGACAGGATATCCTTCCATTCATGAACGAGAGCGTCAGGCAGCGGAGAGTCCCAGTCTACATGTAGCTTCCATATACTCTGTACTAGGATCTTCGCACGCATGATGACCGAGGAGAACAGGCCCATCGGATCATAGAATTGGGCTATGCTGCGGAGGACATCTCTTTTGGTAATGACGGAGTACTGGTTTGTGGTTGACTTTGCCGTCGACAGAGTATCGCGATTGGTATCCCATGACATACCCAGTACCTTCATTACATCACAGCTAGGCTTGTCTTCAGGAGCTAGAGCATCTCTGAAGTCAGGATCGTTGGTACCCCATTCACGCAAGTTCATGGTGGCACTGGCAAAGGCGTCCTTTGCCTCTCTGTAGTATGCAGTAGCATCCTGGACGCTGCTCTGCCCGGTGACAACGTTGTCAACATAGATACTGCGACGTACATCATCGCATGTCCCTGTCTGTTGCTGTTGGAGATGGTGGTCGACTGTGGCGGCGAGAAGAAACGGGCTAGCGACAATGCCAAATGGAACTCGGCAAAAGCGGTAGATCACTAGGTTGGCTGTGGTGACGGGTTTTGTAGGATCGCGAAGCCATAGGAACCGTGTTACATTGCGATCTGTCATAGATAGACCTAGCTGAAGGAAGGCCTTCTCAACATCGCTGACAATGCCAATGGGGTGTAGCCGAAATCTCACCAGGATACCACACAGATCCGGCAGAAGTATCGGACCTCGGTGAAGGCAGTCGTTCAGGCTGTTGTGTTCTGCGCGAGTTCTGGCGGAAGCATCATATACCACACGAACCTTTGTTGTGGTACTGCTGGGGCGAACAACACAGTGGTGGGGGATGTAGTGAATCGGCCCATCCTGGTGATCAAGGTTCACTTCCTCGATAATGCCATTGGCTAACTGCTCTGTGATGGTACAATGATACTTCTCTAGCACGTGTGGTGTCTGCTGGAGTCGTTTGACTAAGGATTTGAGACGGCCGAAGGCGAGCTCGTAGTTCTCTGGTAGATTAGGTTGTGGAGTATGGCTATCTTTCCATGGCCAAGATACCATATATCGGCCGTTGATCAGTTGCAAGGAGCTGCGAAAGTGTTCCAGGGCAATGTCGTCCGCTGTCTGCGGATCACTGATGTCATCGGTGATACCAATATCTTCAAGTCGCCAGAAACGTTGGAGATCAAATACTGGGTCTGGCAAGGTGGTAGCATCTGTGAGCATTATGTGGCCCGCAGTGTCATCTGTCTCTGTGTCAGTAGGGCCTGCTGGGACAAATCCCAATTTGGAGTTCAGCAAGACCAGGCCATTGTTGAGTTGGATGTGACCGTTACCCATGGTGGAGAAGTAGAAATCCGTGCCGATAAGGAGGTCAATTTCTACCTCCTCACGCTTGGTGACAATGGTGTCAGCTAGTTGGATGTTCTTGACTTCAGGGTACTGGTCGATGTCAATTGGGGATTTGACAACAGGACAACAAATCCACGGCATAACTTTGGCGGTTACGGGCAAGGCTGATCCGGCATCTCGACATAGGAGGGAAAACTCCACTCTCGGCAGGGTGACCGTTCGCCGGGACGCAGATCCAAAACTAGCGATGGACAACACGTCTTCACCGACAACAGCTGCGTTGACAGAGGCAGCTAACGATTCATGAATAAATGTGCGAGTTGAGCCGGTGTCAAACAACAGTCGGCAGTCTGAGATGTTGCCTTGCCCGGCGACAGTTGCGATGGCGGTTGGGAGATTCACACCTTTGGACTGGACGTGCACCGTAGCGGTAGTATGTTTCTGTGGCCCTTGCTGCTGCTGAGTAGGATAGAAGGTAGAGGCGACGGTTTCAAATAGGAAATAGGTTGCAAACCGGAACGGACTCAATATTCACTTTCTCTCTTGGTATTTTGATTAGAAAACATATGTCACAGTGAGACTACGATGTGTTATACTCCGAGCCAAAATTTCATGGCTCTGCGATGACCAGAAGCGCCATATCAAGCAGGTGAGTTTTTGACGTGTTGCTTCGCACTGCGACTTGAGTTTTACGACTTTCGAAAAATCAACTTCTTGTCGCAGGTAAACAGCGGCTCGCCTCTCGACAATAAAGCACCGCATACCAATCAAAACTAATGGAAGCACACACAAGGCTTATTGTTACTCTGTACTGGCCGTCGTGGAGCGATAGCAATTACCTAATTTCAGACCCAGAGTGAATTTGACGGGCACTCTAAAACGTGTCCGGTTTGGAGCCACCTCTGATTTGAACTTTTTTGAAGCGAAAAATTGGGCAACTTGGAGGCAATGGGTCAACACAAAGGAGTGGCTCAGTTCGATTGACTCTGGCCCCAGAGCAAACTTCAACATGCCAGTTTCCTTCCACAAACATATTTCGAGTGAAAAATCAACGTTGATGATCGTTTTGGGTCTATACAAATTTGGCTGTCAAAACGTTCCGGTATCGAGCCGTCTCCTCTACTTGCGGCAGCTGACACTGGTGATGAGCCAAATTTCTGAGGGCACAGGGCACGGTGATGGGTCAACAGATTGCAGTGATAGCAGGGTCTTCTAGCAGTACAGTCCTTTGCCCAATGTCCCTTCCGTAAGCATACAAAGCAGTGGTCTTGTAGCTGCTGCTGTCTGGTAGAAACCGTGTTGAACGTTGGGCAGGTGTCCGAGAAGTGTTGCAACTTGCAGAAGAAGCATCTCGGAGTGGCGCGCCGCACAGAGCTAACTAACGTGGCTGCCGTGGCCGGAGGTTGGGAGTAGGCAGCATGAGGCTGTGCGGAAACAGGCGGTGGTCGTGGCAGAGTGCTCTCTGGTTTGCTGGCTGTGTCTCCTGCCAGTCGCTCAGCCGATTCACGGACCTCCAGGTAGATTCCCAGCTGTTTCCGCAGCTCATCAACAGTCCAACTCTGATTGTGGGGTTTCTGTGTCTCAAGTTGTACGATGACGCACTTTGGTAACTTGGAAGTGATGACAGGAATCAGCAGTTCCTGTTGCACACTTTGACCTTCCGCTTGCAAACAGCGCAAATTAGCCTCCACCTCGTTGTAAAATCTCCGCAACATGTGAGGTTTATTTGATGGCGCTGGCATTTCGGTAATTGCGCGGTATCGGGCTGCGATGATGGCATCCTTCTTGCCAAAGCGATCCTTCAATAATCCTAACGCCACGGGGTAATTTGAATCGGTGGTGGGAATACCGGCAATAACATCCAGGGCCATGCCTGTCAAATGACTTCTCAAATACGACAGTTTCTGTACGGCAGACAGGCTTTGATTTGTACCGATCGCAGATTGAAACATGTCAATGAACTCAGTGAAATGAAGTATGTCACCATCAAACTTCCTGATTGTGAGCACGGGCAATTTCACAGATCCATGAGCACTCTGTGCAGGCTGTGCCGAGTTGGCCGCCAGCTGGCCAACCGTGCTGGTGTGCTTCCCAATGGCTGACAGCAACTGCTGTGTTTGTTGCTGAGTTGCGGTGTGCATTGTCAGCAGCTGCTGGACGTCAATTCCAGGTGCTTGACTGCTGGTACTGGTGTTCTGGGCACTGGCGCTGGCTGTGGCTCTTTTGGCTTGAGCACTCAGCAGGGACAGATTTTTGAAGTACGTGTACGACGGTAACGTACTGGCCATATTTTCATACTCTTCATCTTCTTTCTTTTTCTTTTTTTGAGTTGCTCCACTAGCCACGAAATCGTATAACGCAGCGCCGTACTTATCTAGGTCAGCATCCAACTTCGTGAGGGCATCTCTATGCTGTTCACAAAACTGGGTCCGAATCCCGACCCACTGGTCTGCGTCGTCAGATGGACAACTTTCTGAAACTAAACGTTGGCACTTCGTATCGTCATCGTGGACAGTAGAATACAATGCACTAATTTTATTTGCTAAAACTCGGAGACTCCCTGGATACTCGGACATGGTTTCGGCACCAATTTATGTTGTGACTAGAGTCTAGACTCTCTTAGTTCCACAACATAACTAACTTCATAAGGACTGGGATTAATTCTCATTCAGTACTACATGACTTACTCTGATCTCTGATCATCAAGAAGCTAGGTAAAACCATAAAGCCATCAAAACAAACAAAAGGGCTAATGCTACGTGGACGATAACGTCACACAAACATACACGTGATATTATGTACAACTTCGTGATGTAATCACGACAATACCTAACCCTACCCCTATCCCTAACCTTAACCCTAACCCTAGCCCTAGCAACAACGCTAACCCTAAGCCTAAGCCTAGGAATGGGACCAAGCCAAAGCCTAAGCATAACCCTAACCCTGACCCTACCCCTACCCCTACCATAACCCTAACCCAAACTCAAACTCTAACCCTAACCCTGACCCTACCCCTACCCCTACCATAACCCTAACCCAAACTCAAACTCTAACCCTAACCAATACGCTGACCCGAACTCTAAGGCTAAGCCTAAGCCTGAGCCTAAGTCTAAACCTAAGTCTAAGCCTAAGCCTAACCATAACCAAGACGCTAACCCTAACCCTAACCCTAACTCTAACCTTAATTCGAACTCTAACCCTAACCATGCATTAGCCTGACCCGAACTCTAACTCTAAGTCTAAGCCCAAGCCTAAGCCTAACCCTGACCCCAATCCTAACCCTAACCCTAACCCTTACCCTGAGCCGAAGCCTAAGCCTACCCCAAACCCTGACCCTGGCAAAACTAAAACTTAATCTAAGCCTAACCCTAGGCCTAAGCCTTAGCCTAAGCCTTAGCCTAAGCCTAAGCCTAAGCCTAGGCATAAGCCTAACCCCAAATCCAAACTCTATCCCTGATCCTATCCCTCGTGCTAATACAAACATTGACCCTAACCCTACCCTGATCCTAACCCTAAAGCTAACCCTAACTGTAAACCTAACCCTACCCCTAACCCAAACCATAACCCTAACCCTCGTCCTAACCCTAATCTTGACCCTAGCTCTAACCCTAACGCTAACCCTAAGCCTAAGCATAAGACTAAGCCTAAGCCTAAGCCTTAGTCTAACCCTGACCCTAACCATTAGCCTGACCTGAACTCCAACTCCAAGCCTAAGCCCAAGCCTAAGCCTAAGCATAAGCCTAAGCCTAGGCCTAAGGTTCCGCCTAATCCCTACCCTAGCCCTAGGCATAAGCCTTGCCCTAAACCGAAGCCTAAGCAGAAGCTGAAGCCTAAGCCGAAGCGGAAGCCTAAGCCTACCTCTAACCCTAACCTTAAAACTAACCCTCGACCTAAGCCTAAGCCTGGACTTACGCTTAGAGTTCGTGTCAGGCTAATGGTTAGGGTTAGAGTTAGGTTTGGGTTAAGGCTAGGCTTCGAAGTAGGTGCTTGTCTTGGTTGCGCTCACCTTCCCTCCTACGTTGTGTGCAATTATAAAACTTAGAACGTTCCCAGTTGGAAGGCTGTTGGAGGGCGCATCCTAATCCAAGACTTGCTTTAGCTAGTAGCCAGTTAATTGTAGAACATCAGTACCGTCGGCTAGTGTCGTGCAATGTTATCGCATGAGCTGATTGTTTACTAGTAGTAACTGGTGGTGTTTAATAGTGGACAATTGGACATCATAGCGCAACTTGTAGTTCCTTGGTCTTTTTTTACTGTAAAAATCCCATGAGTTCGGAAATTCACTGACGATGATAGTCACAAGAGATTATTCTGAGAAACCCAAGTTGGACTTAGTTGGAATGATTATGTGTGTAAATAACCTACGTGGAGATAATAATTTTAATATAGCTATGAATAGGATGAAGGCCGCAGACATCACGCAACTACGTTACTTGTTTGACATGTATTACTGTGTATTTTATAACAAAAATATTATTGAAAACCCAGAATCGATTTTCTCGTTCCTATCATCAGTGGGAAAAACGGAACTAAGGATACAACCAAAGAAACTGAAGTTAATAAGTACTGTAAATAGAAAGGTGTTAAAAATAACATCAAGATACAAGTGCAATAAAACCACTAGAGGAAACGCAAAAAAGGGTAACAAGATTACATAACCAAAGGCGAGAAGGCACTGAACGAAGTGTCAACCTACGAATACAACTTCAGTGCAACAATGTGCTCTTTCTGCTTACACAAAACAGGCGTATGTATGATGACTCTCATTTTTCTGTACTGTGTCGTGCGCGTTATGTCCAACAGTTGAAAGTCCTAGAGGCAGTTTGTATACGTATTCATAAGCCTGTTTTGTGTAAGCAGAAAGAGCACATTGTTGCACTGAAGTTGTATTCGTAGGTTGACACTTCGTTCAGTGCCTTCTCGCCTTTGGTTATGTAATCTTGTTGCCCTTTTTTGCGTTTCCTCTAGTGGTTTTATTGCACTTGTATCTTGATGTTATTTCTAACACCTTTCTATTTACAGTACTTAACTTCAGTTTCTTTGGTTGTATCCTTAGTTCCGTTTTTCCCACTGATGATAGGAACGAGAAAATCGATTCTGGGTTTTCAATAATATTTTTGTTATAAAATACACAGTAATACATGTCAAACAAGTAACGTAGTTGCGTGATGTCTGCGGCCTTCATCCTATTCATAGCTATATTAAGATTATGTGTGTGTTAGAATAACAGGAGACGTGACAACATAGCTTATGCTATTGATACCTTTTTTATTGTTATTGAGTCTAAGAAGGCTTAGATGGAACGTAAAATTAAAATTGCTTCTGGAAATGAGCTCAAGCCTAGCACAGTGCCTGCCCTTCTGTCTTCATGCTCAAGACGACCATGACTAGAGTGGCTATGCTACAGAATTCTTTCTACATACGCTCAAGTCCGGTTTTCGTGTCTCATACTTGGCGGTGCTGGCTAGGAACTCTACACGGAATACGTCCACACTCTGAAGTTTAATACTGCGATTTGATAGGGCCCATTTGACCAACTACTACTTCAAGTAAGTACATTCCTAAATGCAAAAATGTGCCAAGTAAGTTGAAGAGGTGGACATGACTGCACTGAGTGTCAGATATTCTGAGATAACTCAAGCTGCAAGTCATTAGCCTCCAAAGAGGCTGTATGTCACGCTGAGGTCAAACACATCACCATTAGCGTCACCGAACGTGTACAATCACGTATTTGTTGAATGGTCATCGAGCATTGGAAAGTGAATGCATGTACAGTCATGTACAATGTAGGTAGGTGTTATCTTGGCCAGCTAGCAGATGCACATACATGTACATGTCACCCCCTGGCCCTAAAAGGAGTATACAGTCAGACCTCGCCGCACACATCCGTTTTCCACAAAACATATCCGGATAGGTGAGGAAACATGTACAATCATGTACATGTATGTACATGATTATAACCTAACACTGGTTAAAAACCAGTATTAGATAAACCTTGTTATAGTTCACGCAATTGTTAGATTGACAGTACTAGTTTGCGTGGCAGCATCAACAGCAGGCAGGTTAACGAGTGGAGGTAACCAACATGTAGCCGGGGTGTTCCGACGTGGTGAAGGCCTACCCATGGCCACGTCGGGACATCACCAACCCCGTCTACAGAGAGCACCTTCTCGCGACAGTGTCATGGTGATGACAAAAAAACTGTTGACAGTTGACGAGCTGAGAGAAGGACGCCATGGGCAGAAGTTGGAAGAAAAAAGAAAAAGAAAAAGAAGTCTCTATACAAGTTAAAGAAAAGAGCGAAGAAAACAAGACGACATCAGGAGTAGTCTCCTAACCCCTAGCATAATGAGGGTCAGAACCGGGTGCGATACCCATATGGTTCAAATGGTCCGCAGGGACCGGGGCTCTGCCAACCGCGGAAGGTTGTAGTAAGGTCACTGTTTCCGAACACAGTGTCCTCCACCTTGTTTCATGCTGTCAATCTAACAAATGTATGTACATGTACATGATATTCCTACTTCGTGTATGGGTAAACTTGAAATACCAGTAGGCGCTCTTGTGTGACTTGGTTCAAGTATGTTATATTTTATGCACACTCCAAGACAGTATGATTGTTATCTTTTACACACGCTCCAAGTATGTTATCTTTTGTGGATTGGCCACAGGCTATAATTATAAGACTTAGATGTTACTAGTAGTATTGTTTAAAAGCGCCCTATTCACGAAAGTGTATAACACGTAAGATTTAAAGACTGTCCCGTCAGGTAGGAGGTATTGAATAGACGACAGCCAGTGGTATTCAGTGGTACGCGCGTTTAGACGAATAATTAGGGACTATAACCTAGATTTAGTTATGACAGTATCCAATCATGTACCTCTCCGCTTGGTGGACAATGTGACAATACAAACCATGTCGGAGTCCTGAAACACGACTCTCATGCAAATCAGAACAAAGTCCACTTTTACAAGGTAGGGTGTTCAAGAGTCTGATCTTAGGTCAGTTACTACGCTACGGAGTGGGCGAACTGCACACCAATACACGAGTATACAATTGTATGACTAGTACAATATGACCTTGTTCGTGCACAAGAGGTACAGATAAGACGTAGAGACCTTGTTCGTGTACGCACGAGCCACCCAGGTGAGGCACTTTGTCCTCTGCAGGCAATCGTGGTCATCTGCCAATAATCTCCATTTTATCATGCGCTGATTGTCCAGTAACTGGTGGTGTTAGTGGACAATAGCGTAACTGGTAGTTCTTTGGTCTTTTTATTATTTTTATTAATGTATCATATTCTTAAGACTGGTTTGTTCCACTTCATGCAATCCCCTGCGGGCTCTTTTATCTGCCAATGGTTTGAGTTTTGACATGGAGTCGAGTCGATCTGACAGGCGCGAGGAGAGAAAATGCGTCTTTACCACAGCAGGTGATGCTTGCATGTACATGTACTTAAATACAAATGCGTGTACTTACGTAGTGATGAGTATCAGTTGAAAGTCATGTTATTTCACACGATGTTGTGCACAATCCACTAATACCACTGAATACTTTGGAGAAGTTGGTCTACACCACACGTGATCCTGCACGTTCCAGCCAATTAGAGTACATGTACATACCTTCTCTGGACAAAACAGACCAAGCAAACACTAACTGCCCTCACAAAAAGATACCTTGATAATTAGGCGAGGCGGACGCGTGAAGCTGCAATCAGAAACCACTTGCTACAAAACTAGCTACTACACGCTGAAGGTCTGTTCTATTGTGTGAATGTGCCCGTATGCGACTTAGATTCCCAGTGCCACTTCTCAGCGTGTCAACACACATTGTCTAACTTTAACCCGGACGCTGCGTGAAGGTAAATTTACAACTACCTCCAGCCGAGTGTAGATAATCAAGCCCAAGAGTAGTAATTATCATACCACACGTAGTTTAGGCAGATACTCAATCTCCACTAGTTGTACAGTTATGTACACATGCTTGCATGTCCCGTTTCCTGGCTACACTACCACTGTATGACTACGTGTACATGATGTACTGAGTTGTTGATCCCATCACACCTAGTCAACAGTGGCGAGCTTCGCTGCAGACTTTGGGAGCCTTTGAAGGCTTCGTCGGACTATAAAAGGCAACTTTCCCAGGTGCCCAACTTCAGTTCAAGACAACCTTCCCAGCTGTTCAACTTCAGTTGACAAGGGCCTTCAACAACCTAGAACTAGCCTAAGCGAATCTGCTTCACCCGTGAATTGACGCCTTCCAGGCATACTTGAGGCTAGCTTTGCGGCGGAATCCTTCCGATCTGCTTCGACTTGCACTGGCTACAGTAGACCGCTGTTTTGAGGCATTATACATGGCGTCGTCCGTCACCATGGCAATTGCTGTACTCTGCGGCGTACTGGCAATGTCGAAGGTGGGCTATGGGCAGGATTTCAGAGGTAAGAAAGATCTTTTAGAGGGTTCTATGATCATGATGATGTGCACTGCGGTAGATCTACATGTACATGCACATGTACATGTCTTTACTGCCTTTAGTCTAGACTAGTCATATTTACCAGTTCCACTACTCCATGGAGACACTTTCACAGCTTCGCAGGGTGGGAACACCTCCTGTACAAAGGCTACATGCAGCAGACTATACGGTAGCACACGAAGTCGAAGGTACTGGACTCCTTCTGTGGAGCAAGCGTTTCGTCACTCTTGAAGTCTTGTCACTGTAAAAAGAAGTTGGTTGCTCCTACGTGGAAGTATACCGTGGAAGTATACCGTGGAAGTATACCGTGGAAGTATACCCTAAAATCAAATTTTCACCAGCTGTAGTCTTCTGGGTGCTGAGTCGAATGGTCTTGGTCCGAGGAAGCTGCGACGCTCCCTTCCTACTTAAATCCCAATCGAACTCGCGCACTTCCACTGAAACTGGGTGACTGCGCCCTACTAAATGGGGATTTGTATGCAAAATGTCACTAAAAGCGCCATTTCGTTCTTATAAAAGCACGGATGACCGCCATTGGCCCATATGTTGTAGTCTTTTGGACGCTGAGTCGACTGGTTTTGGTCCGAAAAGCCTGCGATGCAGCGTTCCTCCTTTATTCCCAATCGAACATGGTTGAACAAGCGGTCACGTGCTCCTGGGTGCCCAAATCACCTGGTCACCGCGCCAGCAGGCGACAACTTTCACACCAAGGTTCAACTCGAGTTCAACTCGAGTGACAGGACTGCACCCAAAAAAGGTCAAACAGGCTAGTAAGTTGTACCCTGCAGGCACGGTGACCAGGTGACTGGTGTACGCAGGAGCACGTGACCGCTTGTTCAACCATGTTCGATTGGGAATAAAGGAGGAACGCTGCATCGCAGCCTTTTCGGACCAAAACCAGTCGACTCAGTGTCCAAAAGACTACAACATATGGGCCAATCGCGGTCATCCGTGCTTTTATAAGAACGAAATGGCGCTTTTAGTGACATTTTGCATACAAATCCCCATCTAGTAGGGCGGAGTCACCCAGTTTCAGTGGAAGTGCGCGAGTTCGATTGGGAATAAAGGAGGAAGGGAGCGTCTGAGCTTCCTCGGACCAGGACCATTCGACTCAGCACCCCGAAGACTACAACTGGTGAAAATTTGATTTTAGGGTATACTTCCCCTTTAGGGCTTCCTGCTGAACAATCATGGTAATCACGTAGACTTGGACGTTGATCGTGCTAAGCTTTACACCTACACCTAGGCTAGTAGTAGTAGTAGTAGTAATGCCCCACAGCACACAACCTTCCAGTCTCACTCATATCACCCACCCTCTGCACACTCACCCAGTCCACCTCCCCCACCCATGCCCTACCCCTCCCCCACCCAACCACTATGTCTACGGGAGTGTACAAGTAAGTTCAAACATGCAGTGTGCTCATTGATCGTGTTCGATGTTTGCTCTTCCTTTGCTTGTTCAGTAAACACCTGTCCAATACCCGCACAGATCCGGAATGGCCGTTATACCACAACAGGTCGGAGTGTAGGAAGCACGGTGACCTACGAATGTTTCGCTAACTATGAGCTGGTCCGTGAGGCGCAGGCAACGTGTCTGCAGGATGGATCCTGGTCCAGCCTAGCACCAGAGTGTCAACGTAAGGGCCAAGGGGATAAGCTTATCGCTTTCATAATAATAATTATAATAATGATAGAAACGATTTGTGTGTTGCTCCCCTTCGTGGCCGTGGGAGCTCGCGCTTTTCCTGCCGACGTGTCTTGAAACTTGACTGATACACGACTGTCATCCAGTATACGCCAGAACCATCGAACGTTTTGTGCGCTGAGCAGGGAGTAGTGCATTGTTTCGAATTTGCCGAGTGGAAGGTGTGATGGACTTTGCGTGTGCTCTGGATGGCAGTCACTAGTTAGGAAAGGCTATGCTATGGCCGAAAAAATCAAAAACTGTTTCTAGCGGTCCTGCGGCCAACTGTCAAGTCAATGATTCCTCCACACAAGTTTGCAATGGATAAAAGCTAAATAAAACTGTTTTGTTACTCCGGAGTTCTGGTGGCTATTACAGTATATTAGGCAACAAGTTGAGTTTCCGTTCAAAAACTTCCATGACCATTAGCGTAATCATCAGACAACACGCTTGTTCTCCAATGATTGGCCAAATATCCATGATGCTCAAGAATTACAACGCATTTTAGCGGCTGGTTACTCGGCAAACTTGTGTCCTTTGACTAGGCCCTCGCGGTGTCGAGCACGTGTGCAAGTATTTACTAGCAACTTTGCTTATAATTCCTGTGCAATCGCCGAGGTCGCTACCACAATTACGTTGAGAGAATTCACTCCACTGTCATATTTCACATCATTACAACGTGTTTCTGGCATGGCTGCTCTGTTGTGCTCAGGTATCCGCTGCCCAGATCCAACACGCATACCTAACGCAGGTTTCCCGGTGCCGGACCCGACAGTTGGTAATACAGTGACATATCGCTGTTTCCCAGGATACACTCTAGTTGGCCAGGCTACACTGGAGTGTCAGCCGGATAAGACATGGTTTCCAGAGGTGCCGTCATGCATACGTAAGCCCACTGAGCAGCAATGCTGCCACACGCATGTGTACTGATGCATGTACCCATCAGAGAATTGTAGATAGACAACTCTACACTACTCGATCTCGAAGTCTGAAGAAAATGTTGCACGGTCGCTGATTGGATGACGACTACACCATAGCTTAGTGGTAGAGATTCACTGGTCATAAGCGAGGGTCCCTGGTTCGAGTCCTGGTGGTAATAGCCAATTTATTCCTCAGACCTTTTTCCGGTTTGCAACTGCCCCTCTAACTGATGAATATTTAATGTGCTGGGGCTCCCTGCGTGCTAGTTGGCACGTGAAGTTACAGTGAGGGCTGTGTCCCATCAGCCCGTGTGGATTCACAGCCAGCGTGAGTTTCAAAGTCTGAAGAAATGTTGAACAGTCGCTGCTTGGATAATGACTACACCAAAGCTTAGTGGTAGAGCATCGCTGGCCTAGGCGAAGCCCTGGTTTGATAGTCAATCTTTTCTTCAGGCTTTTCCCGTTTGCAACTTTCCCTAAAACTGACGAACAAAATCATCATGTAGAGCAATTATCCATTGTACGTTAGTCCTGCAGGAACTAAATGTCCACATGCAGCCATGTACTACGAATGCAAATGCTACATTATAGGGAAAGAGCTTACTGTATTGCTTTGTATAGCAAAAACTAATCATCTTTGCGATGTGCCCGACTGCTTTTCCCTACAGAAACTACATGCCCGCAACCAAGTATTGAGGATGGTCAGTACACAGTGACATCGTCCAGCCTTATTGTTGGTACTCGTATAACGTATCGATGCAACGCAGGATTTGAATTGGTGGGCAACGTGGCAGCAATCTGCCAGAACAGTGGAGAATGGTCAAATCAACCACCAACATGCAGAGGTGAGCAGGGCGGCTACTCATTGGTGAATATGCACCACACAGCCCTTGCCATGCACCACACAGCCCTTGCCATGCACCACACAGCCCTTGCCATGCACCACACAGCCCTTGCCATGCACCACACAGCCCTTGCCATGCACCACACAGCCCTTGCCATGCACCACACAGCCCTTGCCATGCACCACACAGCCCTTGCCATGCACCACACAGCCCTTGCCATGCACCACACAGCCCTTGCCATGCACCACACAGCCCTTGCCATGCACCACACAGCCCTTGCCATGCACCACACAGCCCTTGCCATGCACCACACAGCCCTTGCCATGCACCACACAGCCCTTGCCATGCACCACACAGCCCTTGCCATGCACCACACAGCCCTTGCCATGCACCACACAGCCCTTGCCATGCACCACACAGCCCTTGCCATGCACCACACAGCCCTTGCCATGCACCACACAGCCCTTGCCATGCAGAAACACACAGCCCTTGCCATGCACCACACAGCCCTTGCCATGCACCACACAGCCCTTGCCATGCACCACACAGCCCTTGCCATGCACCACACAGCCCTTGCCATGCGCCACACAGCCCTTGCCATGCACCACACAGCCCTTGCCATGCACCACACAGCCCTTGCCATGCACCACACAGCCCTTGCCATGCACCACACAGCCCTTGCCATGCAGAAACACACAGCCCTTGCCATGCAGAAAGGGCATGTCATCCCTCAGGCTTTTCACTGACACCCTTATCTCCACATTAATTTTAAATCTTTGTTGAGTGAGTTGTAAATGTTTCAACGGTATTTTATTTTCGGTTGCACTGTGGATGTGTTATTCTTTGCCCTTGGTGTCTCATTTCTCGCCTCTGCTTTTGCACACGGTTCAGTCTTCATAAAGTTATGACTTACAAGCAGTAACTTACACTATTGTGATGCCACATGCACCGGCTTGTTTCATTCGTCTTGGTTGCTTGTATTTCACTTGAAGAGAAAGCACGAAAGCTGGCTAATGAAATTCCTCACACCAAATTCTTTCCGAAAGTTGTAGTTGTAAGTTTCTCGTCTCCTAGGAAGTTTTGCATATCGTTTTTTCTTTCCACGTTAAATCCAGCAACTGGATGCCCGATACCAGAAAGCATTGTCAATGGCGGCGTGGTGTATTTGGAGACGACGGTGGGAAGCTCTGCCTTCTATCAATGTAACGCTGGATTTAACCTGATTGGCGAGCGTGAGCGCGTGTGCCAAGCTGATGGTAGCTGGTCTCCTGAACTTCCAACATGCATAGGTGAGCATCTTTTCCTTCATTCAGCGTAAATTATTGAGGTGCTACTTACCGATTATGTGCTATTTGAGTATTTGAAATTATACACCGGTGACATGCTTGTGTCCATTACCATAAAAGCCCGTATAAACGCCCACACAGTATAACACCACTACCCGTTTACATGCCCAGGTGCCCAGTGTCCACGCGTTTGTCCGTTTTCTAGTCCACCTCCGTGTAAACGCCCATGGGCGAAAGCACAGGTCCATTACACAGTGCAGTGCATGCACAGCTCCATGTGCATGTACGGTACTGTAGTATAACTTAGTGTACAATACACTGTGCTAACCTCATTTGTACATGCACCGTAGCACAGCATGATGTGAAAATCAGTCTGATTTCACTTATCCGAAATAACGCCCGGGCCCACATTAACGCCCAGGCCCAAATTGACGCCCATGTTCTGCACCTCCACTAGAGTTTCCGCCCAGGCCCTTATCACGGGCTTTTACGGTAATTCATCTTTTATCTCATTTTGTTCATTCTACAT